GGTTCAACTCGAGTGACAGGACTGCACCCAAAAAAGGTCAAACAGGCTAGTAAGTTGTACCCTGCAGGCACGGTGACCAGGTGCATGGTGTACGCAGGAGCATGTGACCGCTTGTTCAACCATGTTCGATTGGGAATAAAGGAGGAACGCTGCATCGCAGCCTTTTCGGACCAACACCAGTCGACTCAGCGTCCAAAAGACTACAACATACGGGCCAATCGCGGTCATCCGTGCTTTTATAAGAACGAAATGGCGCTTTTAGTGACATTTTGCATACAAATCCCCATCTAGTAGGGCGCAGTCACCCAGTTTCGGTGGAAGTGCGCGAGTTCGATTGGGATTCAAGTACTGAAGTAGGAAGGGAGCGTCTCAGCTTCCTCGGACCACGACCATTCGACTCAGCACCCCGAAGACTACAACTGGTGAAATTTTGATTTTAGCCTTAACTTCCCCTTTAACGAAATTTTTAAATTCGTTAAATCGTTAGAATTAAATACTCGTTCACATTACTGGTCTTACAGTATTCTGCACCCGTCTACCAGAGGTCCTCACGGGTAGAACGGGCACCCGACTACCCTTGCACACCACTAGTCTATTGTGCGCTACCCTAGCTCAAACTACTTGATTGTGAATTCGCTGATGACTGCAGCTATCGCTAGGCAAGTTCTAGCTTGGCGCATGGACCACGCGCGGGCGCTCTCACTCATGGATCTTGATCTTGGACGCACGGTTCTCACGCCCTTCAGTTCACGGTGCACGAATCGTTTGTCCATCGAATCAAATGGCGCCAATAGCCCAAGTAAGCATCGGGGTAGTATTAGTAAGAACTAAAACATTGTCCATGAAAGGACTTTTCGGGCTGACCAAGTCTGCTTTTGCCCTTTTTTCAGTATTCACTTCGTCGTGTACTGTCGTGGACATGGAAATCCGGTCACACGCGCGCTGGTCGCATCGGATGAACATGACTGAGCACTGCATGCAACAACTACGCTCTGTAGATCTATGCTCTGAGGGCGCAGGCCCCGGTCAATCGACTGGATTTCCATGTCCACGACAGTAGGTTAGACATGGGGAAGTTAGTTGCCATACTGGGGTGTGAGCCCGCCTTTCGGCACCGGGGGTACAGCTTGCTCGAGTCGTCTCTACTGAGTGAAGAGGACCCACACCTTGATCTGGTGAGCTGCGTCATGGGGATTTGCAATTTTGCAGTCAGGTGTAAGACCGCGGGGCTAGAACCTACGACCCTTGGTTCGCAGGCAAGTGCAGTACACAATGTACCACCGGGAGCCCCGCCTCTTATTGGGGGGGGGGGGGGGGAGGTTTCTGAAACAAGCTTATTGCCCTTTTTCGGGGGGGGGGGGGTTCTAGACCAAAACAAGCTTATTATTTTTTTGTATTGTTTGGGGTTGACGAATCGTCTTGTAAGGGAACATGCAAGTCATACATCATACATGCATAACTATAAGGTAATGAACTGACTCTCCTGCACATTGCATGGCGTTCGTTATATCAGGAGTCGACTGGAATAAGAGTCGCTGGATTCAAGACGAGAGTAGATTTTTTATGTCCACTTCACTAGTACCGGTATGTCATTGTGCATGACAAATTGACAAGTGTTCAGAATCATAGGGACTTACCGCATCACTATCACAGGCGCGCTTCGGTGGCCACTTCGGCACTTGTGCTGAGCCGCCCCTATAATTATGGTACGGCTCAAGCTCTGAGGTTGAGTCGCTGGAAGCAGCAGCTGAACGCCTCCACGAACTACTTGAACGACAAAATAATGCAATGTCCGAACGACATTCCGTGTGGCGCTGAATACACGTGACTGAAAGTCAGCGGCCATCCTGCGAAACACTTCAGATTGTTAGTAGATCTACCGACTACTTCTAAGTAAGTAATAATATTATTAGTTCTAGGACCAGCAAACGGAGATGCAGACCCGGTAGTCACCGGATAGAATCCGGACTGGATGCGAGTCTTCCAGGACTTGAGGGGCCCGACGCGGTGGTGTCACTCGCTCGGCGGTCGGGCAAGTGCGTTGCTTCCGCCAGCGAGCCGTAAAAACTGACTTCTCCCAAGTCCCTACCGGTAGTACATCTACGACGAGGGGTGGCGCCTTTTCGGAACGGTGTATGCAAACATCTCCTCTGCACCCCCACAGGGCCACATCACAGGCTCTCGCCTCTCGGTTCCACCAAATAAAAAGGTTGCCAGGCATTATTCCGCCATTTGCATACGTATACAGTGCAGTAATACAAGTTAGTTGCAAGGAAGTTGGGACTTGGCGGAAAACTTCAAAGTACATGTACTAGTATTCGGAGGTTTTTTTTAGAGGCCATGCGCTTGCCCTCTGCTCTTTTCTCTCCGATACAGCGATAGAAGCATAGGAATGCTGTAGAATCAGTCACACATCGTGGGCACATGATTGGTAAGAAACCTACCACAGTCTTCATTATGCAAGGTGACCAAACGGAGAGAAGTACATAACGAACACAAAAGAAGAACTAACTTTCATTCTCACAAAAGAAGAGAAGCGAAGTGTATCACAGTACATGACTGTACACTCAAAAACAGTATCAAAATATCACACTAAAGCTGGAGGAGCAAAGGTGCTGAAAGCATAATGTGCAGAGTGTATCATACCACCAAGAGTATAATAATTATTACAAGTTCCCGGAGCGAGGAAGACGGCGAGGAGAGAGGCGAGGAGGACAGGAGAGGGGCGTGGAAGGCGGCCAGGGGAGAGGCGAGGAGAGAGGACAGGGGAGGGGCGAGGAGATAGGCGAGGAGAGAGGACAGGGGAGGGGCGAGGAGATAGGCGAGGAGAGAGGACAGGGGAGGGGCGAGGAGATAGGCGAGGAGAGACGACACGAGGAGAGGAAGATGGCCGAGGAAAGCGGCAAGGTGAAAGGTGAGGAGAGAGGAAGAGAAGCGAGGCGAGAGGCGAAGAGTGACTCTAGGGGAGGCGAGGATGTTGTTGTTTGTTGTTGTTTTTTATTTGAATTCGCAATACCAAACGGGGGGAGGATTTGTTGGTTGATGACATTGAGTACGCGGTACATGACCATGATGACCGAGGACTTTACACAGTAGGCGTTGATCTGGGAGTCGTAAAAGCCGACTCCCTGATGTTGATCAGGGAGTCGGGGGCTTTCACGACTACTAGTACCAGTAGTACTAGTAGTAGTGATCCCTGCTCCTGCGGGGCCCTGGTTTCGGTAAGACATGCCGTGCGCCCGGTCTCCACGAACATCTATACGACTGTAGCTATTGTACACGTGTGCACTGCATGCAGCGCAGCATAGCCAGCAGTTTCAAGTCCATTATTATTTTCAGCAGTCAGTTCGCCTTTTCCGCACTTGACTCCTTGACATGTATTTTTGTTTTTGCGTTCGCGAGTACATGTAGCTTTCACTAATAAAAATAGAATACAGTGCTCACAAAGAAAAGGAATGGCTGTCAGTTTTCACAGTTTATCCTGAGGCCACTGCGCTTGCCAACTCAATAAGCAAAAGCAATTTCAACGTTAGCTCTGGACGAATTGATGCATGCTTCTTCACGACCCGCAGTCTTCCAATGCTAGTGTGAAATCGTCGAAACCGTCTTCAACGAACCACGCAGTCAGTGAATAATGATCAACGCAGTGCTTCAAGTTCCTTTGTACCATTCCTTCGGAGGGTAGCTGAGTTCGTGAGGGCGTCACTCGGATGCGCGTTCGAGTCGTGCAATGGACGGGGAGTCGGAGAGATACCAGAGCGGTGATTTCAGAAACCGTTACAGTAGCCGCTACGAATACTTCGATCGCGGAATCCTCGCCGCACCGCACACCATGACCCGTAAGTCGAACACGGAAACGCTGTTGCATGACATGATGTGAACGGATTTCCACATGTTCGAAAAAACATTGTATTGGGAAATGATTGTGATGTGTTGGAAATGCTTGCGGCTTGTAGCTTATGCAGGCCAGGGAATGGATGGAGTGTTTATCTATCAAGTACCAACAGGTCCAAACTAGCATGCTTATAAATTGCCCTGTAGTGCATGCACATGCATGCAACGCACATGTACATGTACTAGTACAATCATATTATTATAGAAGCCTTGCTTGATAGGTTAAACATGTTTTCGAAGTTGACAGCATGTTACAAGGCGAGGACGCACAGTGCTCCTGACTGCAACCATAACCATGATAACCTGGTCATCAAGAGCACTGTGCGTCCCCGCGCCTTGTAACATGCTGTCGACTTCGATGTACGTCGCTGTGAGTGGCAGTTTTCCACCTTTTTGCCTCTTTTCTTTGGTGTGTGCGTGTGTGTGTGCGTGTGTGTGTCCAGCTCCTGAGCATAGACATACAAGACCGCGGTTGCATGTTGAGCCGCCTCCCGCCGCACCGTTCTTTCCCCCGCCGCCCTGGCCTCCGGTGGCCACATGTGCTCGGCCGCCCTGGGATGGCAGTTCGTACCCCCACCTACCGTTCACGGCGCTGCACCGTCCCGCACTGAACATGGTCCCGGCAGCGGAGAGCGGCGGAAGTTGGCCGCACTGGGATAACACCAAGGGTGCACCACCGCCACCGCATCGACCTCCGTGGCCCCGGGTGGCTTCTAATCTTGGTCCGGGAATGACGCAGCGAGCTGGCCAACTACGCTCCAATGGTGGTGGCTCTGGTAGTACTGCAGTGCGCACCACCGGTTCAAGCGTTTCAAGCTTAGAATCCAGCCACTCTTCTGTCCGACAGATACCTCTATCGGTGAGGGATTCCCAGTGCAGACCGTGCGACCCTCGAAACATCCAGGCAATACAGTGCCAATATCGCGACATCTCTTTACCGCTGCCTCAGTTCGCCACTCCAACGACGCAAATGTCGGCCACAGCAAAGGTGAAAAGCTGGCTTATGCAGTACGGTGCAGAGGCGGCAAGTCCACCGCTGGCACACGGGCCGCCAGCAACGATGCCACTAGCTCTTCCAGTATCAGCTGTGGTACCGCCACCACCACCAGAAACGTTGCCATCCCAGCCACCTATACCAGGAAGTGTGCCATTGCGCATTGAACACACACCATGCAGAGGACCTGGCCTTGACCTAAGCTTGACTGAGCTGTGCGATCAGTACCTACTATCACCGTGCCGGGACATCATGCATGTCTTTGAGGAGGACACGGAGAGAAGCAGTGGCGAGGAGAGGTTTGTCCCGAGAGTGATTGCCGACTTCAGTTCCGACGACGATATGTTCCATCCGATAACCCCCTCGTCATCGTCGTTCACGTCATCCATGGACGACGGCGGTTCCGTGCAGGTCGCTTCTGACGCTGATATTGTCTTCTTATCATCCACAGGTCGTTTAACCCGGCAGCGAGTCAAACTCGAGAGAAATCGCTCACCTGGTTTGGATATGGAGACGACGCTGGGAAACCTGTCCGGCATACAGTTAGCAGGTCCTGAGCCCGAACCCGAGCCAAGTCATGACGATGCCTTGCCTGCTCCTACTGATGCCGTGCAGCCAGCAGAGCATGGTTTTGCAGATGTAAGCCCGTCATCTGATCAAGACTTCGCAACACTGTCGCGTGAGATTAGCTCGCATGCTCCTGTCCCTGATGAGCTGTCACGAGCACTGGCATCATCCCCGCTCAGCATCCTACCAAGTTTTGCAGGCAGTCCCGCCGTCGCACCCGCTGACAACACCGATACGGGCAAATGCACTGTGGGTGAATCTGCCTGTGCTGATGCTGACATCACTGATGCCAGTAATGATGTAACTTATTCCAGGAATGATGTCATTCCTCCAAGTCATGATGTCAACCTTCCGAGCATCAGCGTGGCTGCTAAGGACAACTGCCATGGCTCTGTTTCTCCTGGTGGTGAGGCCGCTGTTGGTACCACTAGTATCAGTGATACAAGACGCGACTCGGGCTCTGAGTCTCCTCGGCTGCAACAGTCAACGGCAGTAGCAGATAAATCAGTCATAAGTACTCAAGCCGCAAGTCAAGCAACAGCTGAATGCCCTGTGATGACTAGAAATCCTTCCCGTGATCATACCCATCTCTCGTCTTCAGCTGACGGTCGCAATTCTCTGCATTGCAGCACAACGGAGACATCAGCTGATTGTGCCAAGACAAAAATACGCCGCCGCAGTCGTGCTCCCACTGCAGACGACAGTGGCAGTGCAAGAATGAACTCTGATATGGATGCCGTGCCTGTACGCAGTATCCCGTTGATATCTGGCGGTGTGGGTGGCTCGCTTGCTCAGGTGGCATCGGACGCAGCTGACGATCAGGCTGTTCATGCCGTCAGCGTATCAACTGCATCTGATTCTACTGCTCCGTCACGTCAGTCGGAAGATGCTCACAAGCACACGGCCAGTGTCGTCGTAGCTTCGAAAGCCTGTGGCAGCAGTAGTACTCAGACTGGAATGGATTCTACTGACACTGACAGTCTGCCGTGGTGCTCCAGGCAAGTTCTCTCCGCCACACTGACCTCACTGGAAGAGCAAGGTGAGAGCTAGCTTATAGTGTAGCCTTATACATTGGAATAATGTATGATACACGTTGGCGCAGATGGAAATCACTTGCCTGGATTTCAGTTGGGCGTGCTAAAACCTTGAAACGGCAACCGCTATGTCATGTGTGTGACTCCCTGTTAGGTAGGTACAGATAGCGGTTAACCGCACGCATCCGCTTTCCACAAAAATATCTGGATAGGCGAGGGAACCGGATAATCGAACACACATATTGTATGTATGCATGGCATATGCTGTAAATTGGTAACCAACGATTTTCTTTCAGATGGCGAGGTATCTGGATAAAAGAAGACCGGATAAGCAAGATCTGACTGTACTGCAGAGCAGATGCATGGGAAGGAGTCCTGACTACACAGTGCGTAAGGAATTGATTGGGAACTGTTGGGACAGGATGGACCTGTCCTCGTTCTCGGAAGGAGTCCTTTGCTGAGAGGTGCCCTTTGTTAATAGGTGTTCTTAGCTGAGAGGTGTCCTTAGTTGAGAGGTATCCTTAGTTGATACGGGTGTCCTTAGATGAGAGGTGTCCTTTGTTGTGAGAGGTATTCTTTGTTGAAAGGTGTCCTTAATTGAGAGATGCCCGCACTTGAGAGGTGTCCTCTAAGGGAGGTTCTACTGTATCACATGTACACAAGGGAAAGAGCACCATATTGATGCAAATGTACTGGAGAAACTATATGTAGGACTCAGTATAGAGTCCATGCACTATATGATGTCCAGCACCCTATATAGAGTCCATTGGTCCAAAATCCACTATACAGAGTCCACATGGTCCAGGAGTCCACTCAGTTTTGATCAGCTTCATCCTGCCGCGCAATCCCCTATAAGGAGTACACTTTTTCTACACGTCCCCTATTCACGGTCCAGGGGTCCAGTTTATCCAGTCACGCCGTCCTGTGTGTTGTGCCCGAAACTGAAGAGAACAAACACCTTTTCAGTTTTGCTTGCCTCGTGGCCCGGCAGCGCATTCCTTTCTTCACTTCAGCCATGGCTGCCAGTTCTGCTGTGCAGTTGCTGACAGTAATCTGTCTCGAGGTAACCAAGCAGGATAAGGAGACGTTCAAAATCAAAATTAATCTGGAAAGCGTCTTGTGGTTCTCTGAAGACGTTTCATCAGTGCGCGGGATGAAAGCAGAAATTGCAGAACGAGAAAAGTTCAGCACAGTTCAAATCTGACGAGTCAGGTACACTGACACTCTCTTTCGTTCGACGCCACAAGGATCCCCTGTTTGGCTGGCCATTGCTGCCAGTAAGGCGTTTGAACAGTTTCATCAGAGCGAGGGATGAAAGCAGAAAGCGGAGAACGAGAAAAGTTCAGCACAGTTCCAATCTGACGAGTCAGATACACTGACACTCTCTTTCGTTCGACGCCACAAGGATACCCTGTTTGACTGGACAAGAGCTGCCTGTACCACCGTGTCAAAAGGCTGTCCAACTACATGGCAGGACGATGTCTGAGGTAAGGAAGCTTTTACTCGTTTCGATTGGTCTGCTGTTCTGTCGTTATGCTTGAATTTTTTTCCATTTTCAAGGATCGTATCGCGTTTGTTTGATGTTGCTTGAATGAATGCCCTAAAAGTAATCAACCACTTCGTAATAGTCCTCAAGGACTGCAAGGACTTTGCATCAATCGTATACGATCGTCTAGCTATCATCAATTATTATTTTATTTCATGAGAAATGTATTTTTATCCCTGTGATAATTATGTGAACTCCACGTCACTCTTCCTCTACTAGGCTCTAGTATGATGTCAAATACAATGGGATCCACAAACGCAGTGCCAGTGTACTAGTAGTAGTAGTAGGAGGATTTCTCGTATGCCGATGACAAGAAAAAGCTTCTCAAGCTAATACATGTACCGTAAAGTACCGCCAGAGCGCCCCACCATCTCGTCCTTTCGTGGCCGCCTTGTGGAGGTGGATTCCTGTCTGTAGGTCATACGACACGGACCTTGTACAAACATTGCACATTGTGCAGTCAATCCGTACCCAGTTTACCTTCGAGCTCCACATAAAAGCATACCAAGTTAGTGTGACCTTAGTACACGCGCGCACGAAGGTTCTCACATCGTACAAACTTAGTAGCATTCTGCCATACGATTTTCTTCCCTTGGCTGTAAAATCAAGGTGGGGCGCTCTCGCGAGACGGGGCGCTCTGGCGGTACTTTACGGTACTCGTATTCCATGAAGTAACCGTTTTGATGTCACAAACATGACATTGTGTCAGTGAAACTGCCTCGTGACAACAAATCATTGCATTTCCATCTTGGGGAAGACTGACTGACGGCAACGCTGTACAGATTGTTCAAATCATCTCATTTCAATTTAGTTGCAGTGAAGTGAAACACTGTGTACACTACATGTATGGTGGTGTGTCTGTGCATCTTGAGTGTGCACAAACGATCTTACTGTAAGACATGTTATTATAACGAGTCGCAAATTTAACGATTGTCCAAAATTCATAGGTTAACGAGAAGATATGTTAACGATCTTGCAGTATTCTGCCATATCCACACACAGCATAATATGAATCAGTACGGCCTCAACGGATCTTGAAGAAATGTCATCCGTTAAAACGTTAGATTTGCTTCCTCGTAATATTATACATGTCTTACATTATTCCTCGTATTACTAATAGATTATTGTCCCCACCGTCACCTGTTCACAGGTCTTTGAGTGGATGGATTTTCATTGAGCATTACATTCGTTGAGAACTTGGTAGTTGTGTGCTTCCATGCATCATTACGGTAATACGCGTATTCTTGTGCTATCTATTTGTTGCAGGAGTGCTGATCTTCAGAAGATTGCGGAACTGAGTGCTGCTGAACATTTGCATGGCCATGAGCAATGGTGAAGCTTGCTATTGCACTCTCAGCATGTCCTAGTATTATGCTGACTACTGCACTATGTTACTCTCTTACGCTATTACACGTATGTAAACGTGCGCGCATCCGCCCATGTATGCATTCGTTTCGTATAATTATTTGTTATCCCTCTTGACTTAACGTGTAAATGGGTGGACGTTTGCATGGCTGTTGGAGTTGCATGTGTATTGTGTCTCTACTCTTTTCTTGCTGTTTTCCTGGCGTTGTATAAGTTTGTGTGTGTGTGTGTGTGTGTTTGTGTGCGTGCGTGCGCGTGCACAATAATTTGAAAACAAATAATTAATCCTTGGCTCTCCATTATTCTCTTTCGATTCTTGGTTTTTTTCTAGGTATTTTCTTGGCGTTGTGTGGGTATGTGCATGTGTGTGTGTGTGCGTGCACAATAATTTGGCAACACTACATGATTGAGATATTGTAATTTGCAGTGTCTGCGAAAAGACCACTTGATTTGAGGATGGTGTTTGTAGGGTTTTTCATGTATTGAAGTGGCTGCAGTGGCGCCTCAATACTTATTTTTTTATCTTGAGAAGTGAATGATGTAAAGGATTAAAGGGAGAGGCCGTTTTCTGGTTAATATTCACTGCTTACAGCAGATCCTTTTGTCTAATTTCGAACTCTGGATAGGGGATGCCTAATTCGCTGGACTTTATACAGGGAGTGTTGTCCACATAAAGACTCCTTATAGTTGATTTCAAAGTTTGGGCTCCATACAGTTGATTTTGGACCAATGGACTCTATATAGGGGTGAAGCCAATTGGCTGGACTCTATACAGGGAGTGATGTCCATCTAAACTTTGAGCTCACAGTTGATTCCAAGTTTGGACTCTGTACAGTGGATTTTGGACCAATGGACTCTATATAGGGGTTGGACATCATATAGGGGCTGGACGCTCTACTGAGTCCAACATATACAATGGATTTTGTGGATAACCGCTTGACTTTCTTTTACCATCCGTGTTTGTTCATGTTGTGCTCCTTTCCTGTCCAGCAGGATTTCGCTGTGAGTTCTGTAATGCGCATGTTGGCAAGTGTCCCCAGCTCTACGGGCACTATGTTGAACACCGGGCACACGCGGACTTCAGCAGGTACTAGCTTCTGTAAGCAAGCTGTAGTATACTCTGCTCTGCTTTTTAGTGTATTTATATGCTGCAATAAAAATGTCTCTCTGCTTTAAAATGTTTTAATCATGTGAGTTCCTGTGTACACGCTTACAAGAGTGTACTGACAAACACATCAGTGTGTTGTGTAACGGTTATGCAGGTATGTGTGTGTGTGTGTGTGTGTGTGCCTGCGTGTGTGTGTGTGTCACAGTGTGTGTGTGTGTGCCTACGTGTGTGTGTGCATGTGCGTGCGCGCGTGTACGTGTAAATAGGAACGTCATGGTATGCACTGCAGATTGTAGAAAATGCCTCTGGGTGTACGCGCATGTCCAGCTCTCGGTTTGTGTGACATCATCACAATCGGTCGCAATACACTGTAGTTTAGACACCCGCACAGCATAGTGCTGCAATTATTTCTTGTTCACAGAGTCAGTACATTCATGCTCGTGTTCCAAAAACAGAAAGGATGCACACACAAGCCCCCCCCCCCACACACACACTTAAACACATTGCGTAGGTTAGTAGTAGACCGGTCCTGTATGCAGGGTTGATGAGTTGTCAAATTCTTCACTACAGTCAACTTCGCTAATAACGACTGCGGATATAACGACAATGCGCGACTGATAACGACAGAATTTCCATGCCCAGAGCAAAGTCCCATCCCACTGTAATACATATAATGAGACTTCGGGTATAACGACACTTCGCGAATAAGGACACCATTTTGATACCCCGCCAAGTGTCGTTATAAGCGAAGTTGACTGTACATCCTGAAGATAGTATTTTTTTAGTGGCGTTTGCTTCACTGTCTCGGATCTCTTGGTTCTTTCTCTTTATTCCTGCAGCTGGTTGCTGGAACGCTATAACATCCATGTAGCTAGTGCATTTGACCATGGTCAGAAGCCAGACAAGGAGGGCCATGGGTCCGCGGCGCTCTTGTCATCGTATCCCGATTGGATGGCTCAAGGTTTGCTTCGTGTTGCACTCTCGCACCTGGGCGTGTGCTTCCAGTGTGCTGTGTGTGGAGAGCTGCACCACACGGCAGATGATCTGGTGGCTCACTTCCAGCAGCTGCAGACTGATGACTGCCATCTGGAGTAAGTGAATCGGCTTATGTTACTGTTATGCATGATTGTCAGTGTTCTTTGGGTGTGCATGACTCCTGCTACTTCTGGTGGTGCTGCTGGTGATGGTGCTGGTGGTGCTGCTGCTGGTGGTGCTGCTGGTGGTGCTGGTGCTGCTGCTGCTGGTGCTGCTGCTGTTGTCCAGAGTTTACTCCTACTCAGGTAGGGGCATAGCCCAGGGTGGACTCTAACCGGCTCCCGGCTATCTGAACTCTGTATGCTGGTACACACCCACATCAGTTTTGTATTGTTTGCCAATGATGTTGACCGAATTGACTGATTCTCAGGCACGCTAGTACGGTGCCACATACCAGCTGGCCTGGCCTTGTTGGAGTACTTCGAAGTAAGTTAGAAGCATAGCGGTGGCACGTGAAGTCCAACGTCATGAGTACAGCAGAGCCATGTCCACGGCACACTCCAGCATCTATAGTGCTAGGGGTTGATCAGCTCTTGGAGATGATCAGGTTATGGGGCTGGTCAGGTTATGGGGCTGGTCTGTTTATGGGGCTGGTCTGGTTGTGGGGCTGGGCTGCTTATGGGGCTGGTCAGCTTATGGGGTTGATCAGCTCATGGAGATGGTCAGCTTATGGGGCTGGTCAGCTTATGGGGCTGGCCTGTTTATGGGGCTGGTCTGGTTGTGGGGCTGGGCTGCTTATGGGGCTGGGCAGCTTATGGTTGCTGGTCAGGTTATGGGGCGTGTACGCTTATGGGGTCAGCTTATGGAGTGTGTTAAATTCAAGATATCAGACTTTGCATGCCCCTCTGTGTGTGAAGATGAACATAGAGGGGCTGTCAGTTGCCACCCCTCTTTTCTCTTTATGAAGTACCGGTAATTGCGTGAAGCCCTTAAGCTTAAAAAAAACGCTATTTTGGCAAGGTACTGTAAGAAAGACTTGTATTAGCACAAGTGATCACTACAAATGCATACAAACCTCATGTGGCCTGCCGGCAGGTTCAGCATGCTAGTTACACTCTCGCCTGATGTGTGAACTGTCCTTTTTTTGTGTCGGTGCAGTGCTGTGCACCAGGCCTTGAAGCGCAAACGTACTGACCAGCACCAAGGCAAAAGTCCCGGACAGACGCCAGCCTTCCAGGCACGCTGGATCCGTGAAGAAATGGCCACCCTGCTGAAAGCTCTCTGCGTAAGTGTACAGTGTTATACACATAGAATTTTACATTTGTACTTTGAAGTAGCAAACGTGCAGTGTGCAGTTTACGTGGAATGGTGCCCCGGCACCAACAGAACTGAACCAAAGACACAAGAAGACGCTGACTTCTGGCCTACTTTTCATGATTGTGTGTGTCCGTGTGTGTACGTGTGTGTACGCCTGTGTGTGTGTGTGTGTGTGTGTGTGTGTGTGTGTGTGCGTGTGTGTGTGCATTTGTGTGTGTGTGTGTGTGTGCAGAAGGTTGAGAAGGGAAAGTCCCCTCGCAAGAAGCATGGCCGCATTCGACAGAGGCAGGCCAGATCAGAGTGTGTGTTCATGCGCGGTGGCTTGGTACACTTGACGCGTAGCAACAGCAGCAGCAACAGCTCTGATATGTTGACAGGGAATGGGTCTACATCAGATCTGCCACAGACAAGCCAGTCAACTAACCTCTGTGCCCGGGATGCTATCAAAGATGCAGAGGGATGCAAGTCGAGACGTCCCTATGCACCCGCCCCGCAGAAGTATTCTGCCGCCCAGCAAGATGCCACCACGCCTAACGAAACACAAAATGAATCTATTCACGATCCGGTTAATGGGCCAGTGCGCACCCAAGTTATGACCGATAGAGGATTGTCCCAGCCTGAATCAGCCAGAATGCCACCATTGCTGAAAGGTGGAATAGTATGCATGGAAGCGGAGCTGATGAGCAACTGTGATTTGCCTACGAAGCGCAACTCGAACAAAAATTCGTGTTCAGTCAGCCCAAAGGCATGCCTCACCTCAAACACGGTTGCATCTAGTCCTAAGGTCTCGAAAGCCGACAACAACTTCCCATCTAAGAGTAGCGCTGGTTCTCCTGACCCTGTGCAGACACACGTCTGTTTAGACGCCGAGGTTGGACCCTGCTCAGAGTCAGGTATGAGATGCAGTGCAGCACTCACAGCAGTCGTGGCAGATACCCAGCCGCCAACTTGTGTTGCGTCTTCCAATCCTCAACCTGTTTCTCTTGGTCTTGCTAATGCCAGTAATGGCTCCCACAAGGACACCGCAGATGATTTAGATGTAAGCATGGCCGAGTCTGACTCATCCGAATGTTCTCCACTGGAAACACCGCAGGGAAACATAGATGCCGGTATGCTGCCAGACACTCCAGGCCAAGACTTTGCCACCTCTCCCTCACTGGCCAACGCTATCACCAAGAGCAACACAGCCACAATAGCCGACAGTGGCAGCGACGCAAAAGACACCACCGAGGACGAACTGCCATCGTTTCTCAAACTCCGGCCGGTTTGTCCGGTGTGCTCCAAGCAATTCTCAACCGCCAGCAAGTTCTACAGGCATATATGCCGTGCTGGTCCGAAGCAGGATGGCCATGATCGGTGAGTTTGTTTTACTCATTGGCAACTGCACGTATTGGTAAAGTCAGGAGTGTTTGCAGACAGTACCGGTGCAGTGTGAAGTCCTTGTTGATGCTTTCTGTTCCAAACAAAGGAGTATCTCGAAGCCATGCATGAGATGATAGAGTATAATTTAATGTGTCTGTGGGGGGGGGGGGAATAGATTGGCATGGAGTGCGTGGTTGCCTAATTTAGGTGGTCGTGTGGGATGAGAAGTAAATTTTATTCCCGTAGCTATGCAGAAGACGTTACTTCAGTAGCGTCTGGCGCTAGCCAGGGTCCACACAGCTTTAATTTGGTGTTTATTTGTTTGTTTGTTTGTGTCACGCCTGGAGCTATCCCGTATCTGTCCCGTATCTGTGACTACAAAGGCTCTACATAACAGCTGGCCACAATATTTGCTGGCTCCCGTATCTGTCCCGTACCGTACCATCAAACACAGCTGGCCACAAACAGCTGGCCACAATATTCGTCGTATTATGTATACGACTCCCTGATGTAGAGAGAGATTTGGAAAGAAATAGGGAGACGAGGAGGAAATGAAATTAGAATGGACGCCGAATAGGTGATAGGATGCGTCAGCAAAAACATATTTTGGAAGAGAGATCCCGTCGTCTCCAAAATAATCGTGAACGGGCGATTCAGCGCCGGTCACAGGAAACGTCGGAAGAGAGATCCCGTCGACTCCAGAACGCCCGTGATCGGCAGAGTCAGCGCCGGTCCCAGGAAACGTCAGGACAGACATCCCGTCGACTCCAGAACGCCCGTGATCGGCAGAGTCAGCGCCGGCCCCAGGAAATATTTCCATCAGTTCTAACAACATGCACGATGAGCTAAGCAACAAAGCATAGCGTAGGGCCCTGAGCTTCCAAGCTCTCTCGTTCAAATTTAAAGCTCTCTCGTTCAAATTTAAAATGCTATCGTACTGTCAAGTCCGGATGGGGATAATCAATTTAGTGAGAGTTTGTAATCGAATGATGTGAAGACTCCAATGCGTCGTCCTTATAGTAGAGAAATGGTGATAAAACATACACACCACACACAGCGCACTCTCTCTAATCTGCAAAGTTCTGACAAAGAGCTCTGCTGCATAACCTTGCAGCTTAGCGGGCATTGTGTGGGCAGGCGGGTATTTCCCCGCCAATTGTTGCTGGCGAATACTAGCACAGCTAGTACCCCATAATCGGAAGTGGAAACCAGTGTATTCACCCTCTCTATTAAAGTTACGAAGTTCTGGCAAAGAGCCCACCTGCAGCCGCTAGGTTAGCGGGCATTGTGTGGGCAGCCTGGGCGTGTATTTCCTGCTATTTCACTGGGAGTGCAGCTCTCACCGCCATTTCTCCACTACTTGTACGTGCATTATGAGTCTGTCACGATCAAACGTGGAAATCAGTGTCTTTACACTGATAATCCTCTGCTTACGAGCCTTTGGCTTACTATTATTCACTATTGCTCTGCGCTCCCATGCACTGCGGCACAGATGGCTTCTTGAAGAGTATGAAGTGGACCTATTTGACGACTGCATTCTGCCAAAGACCTACCGGTCGGTCTGCAGCTGGAGGGACCTGCCCAGTTTTATCGTCAAGTGCCTGGAAAAGCAGGAGGAGCGCTCTCAGCAGGTACATGTTTCTCTCTATTTCTCTCTCTCTCTCCCTCTCTCTCTCTCTCTCTCTCTCTCTCTCTCTCTCTCTCTTTCTCTCTCTCTCTCTCTCTCTCTCTCTCTCTCTCTCTCTCTCTCTCTCTCTCTCTCGCTCTAACTCGCACTGTGGCATACCACACATAAACATTCGCTCACTAGCTCTTCTGTGCCTGTCGTCTTCAAGTCCCAGTGTTGTTTGATATGAGTTGCCGTTCCGATCTTGTCCACTGTAGTTTGTTTCCACTCCTCCATTTCTGTGCAAACATCTGTATGATCATGTGACCTATGCACCATCTGTATGATCATGTGACCTATGCATCATCTGTATGCTCATGTGACCTATGCATCATCTGTATGATCATGTGACCTATGCATCGATTTGCAAGAACAGTGCTTCCTTATTTGTTTTACAGTCGTGGCCAAAGAAACCCGACCCACGTGCCGAAATCAGCGCCAATGCTCATGCGGCCAATGCGACCCTCGGATGTGTTTCGGACCGCGTGCATGATGTAATTGAAATGGAAACGTGGCGCTGCATTTGACTCGCGGGTCGGATTTCTTTGTCCACGGCCGTATCACCCAATGCAGCTAATGGGACGCATGCATCAATTTCCCGCCATTAGGCTTTGCGGGGCAAGTCCTCTACAACCGTACACACCTTGATACCAGCTCTGCATAAAAGGTCATGAACTTTGTGAGGTCATACTATAGTATAACGGGTTGTACCTGCCAAGTATGGAGTAGCTTGCCCCGCAAACAGGTGACGGCCATCTTAGATGTTTTGCCGGTATACCGGTATGTACATCTTCTCTTGTGGCTGTAGGCTGGAGCAACTGTTTGCGATGAAGTGAGTGCAGCTTCGTCTCAGAGGAAGAGGAAACGCGGTGGCAGCAAATCCAGTAAACATCATTTGACCAGCTCCAGCACATCACCTGCAACCTTGGTAAGGGACACGCTATGGTATACTAGTGTTGTTGAAGGTGACTGCACTGTGCGTTGGTCGTGTTTGACACGACCAACGTACAGTGCAGCCAACTTTGCAACTGTGCAGCTGAAAGACATTTATACCTCAGTTCATATACACCCATACACAAATCCGCCGTCAACAAGAATGTTTATATACACGGTCAATAACCACTGTTTAGCGCAGGCACTGACTCAGAGGTCGGGTCAAAGGTAGCAGAACTACTACTAGGGAGGATGAACAGTACATGAAGAGCCTGTATGTTATAAATACTACACATCATAATACAGTGCTGTCCTTACAAAGTACCAGCATACATCAAACTGCCCTCGGCCACCACGGGAATTTTACAACGGCTTTGCATTCTACTCATAAGTAACCTATGCGATCAACTCTCTGCTGTCTTGCGTACAGTCGGGCCTTGGTCAACTCTGCGGTAGGGTTGCAGTGAGTGTGCCAAATGCCAAATGCTGCATGCATTGGTGTCACTGCGCCCAGCTCTGGCATGCACTCAGTGCTTTCTGCATGCACCTTGTAGGAGCAGTTGTACTTGTTGTGATCCATGTCAATATGCAATGATTGCACTTCCCGTCCCTTCTACGTTCTACAGAATGCGGTGGGGGCTGAGAAGAAGAAGAAAAGGCCAAGGTCACCGGCCACTCTCGGCACACCACAGCCATCACCACCACCACCACCGTCGCCAAAGCTGCATCTCGGGACACCAGCCGACCGTGACGATGCTGCACTGGCCACAGATCACTGCCGACATGCTGGGTCCGCAGCATGCTGCTCACCGGAGCTAGCCACACAGGCCGATCCACACGTTCTTGCTCTTCTGCCGCCGCTCATCAAGAAATCGGTGGATGAAATAGCAGCTAGCTGGCCGATTAACAACGGCATGTCAAGCAACAGTCAACAGGACATTGATAGTGTAAACAAGCCGATGCCGACTGAAACACCGAGGGAGCATGATGTAGGTTTGTGTGCTAGCAATGATGACGGTGACGACGGTGATGATGGTGATGACGATGGCAAAGGGAGCAGCTTAGCAGATGGCCCGTGCATCACCTCGGATAGCCTACCCGAACAGGCTGAAGTCACGTCAGTGTGTAGCGCCACTGACAATCTGGTGCCATCTCTGCCATCGGTATGTCGGCAGCCTGCCTCTGTTGCTGTGTGTGCTGTTGGGGTTCAAGTCAGATGCATTGTTAATAATAGTAATCGTACATAATGGTGACCCTCTGGACAAGCTATAACCTCACCATCAAATGTTGCACTGTCTTGTACTTAAAAAAGTAATATAATTGCACTTCAAGTGGTATTGCCTGCATCAAGACAGTGATGACTTGGCTTCTCTGTGACCTCCAAGTATCCGTTATGCCTTCAAACGGTTTCCCTGGGGCTTCAATCTCCTTTATAGCGTCAGTATTTGAAGAGCACTGAACCCACTCTTGGTGTGGGTTACAATGGTGCACAATATTTTGAATTGAATTTGCAGTAGCAGAGGCCCCAAGCTCAACAACACGGTATATCCAAAGATGACATTTCAAGCGATTTTCTTATGTCACGGTTTCTGCTACTGAACTGCAGACACCTCCGATGCTGCTGGCGGATTTCTTCTCCTTGATTCAAGAAACCACCGATGGCACTGGCATCAATGTTGCCTGGAGCGGCACAGCCTTCCACGACGCAAAGACGTGTGTCGACACGACACACCTAACCAAGGTCATTGTGGTGAGAACCGACATTTGCAGCATTGATTCCTTCACCCTGCGGCTTCCCTTGGAACGCTACATGACAGACCTGGGTGTGCCATATTTTCCGTAGTATATTACTCTCTCTCTCTCTCTCTCTCTCTCTCTCTCTCTCTCTCTCTCTCTCTCTCTCTCTCTCTCTCTCTCTCTCTCTCTCTCTCTTTCTTTCCCTACTAGTTGCTGTTACACTCACTGATCCTTATGCACAGATATACAGCATTCCCCCACTAGTGGGACCATTGTTATTAGGCTAGGGTCTGTTTTGGACTTCCCACTCTAAATAGAGAATACAAACAAACAAACAACAATATTAAAAAGTCAATTCACCCAAGAGAGAGAGTCACGAAAAGACACCCAAGAGAGAGTCACGAAAAGACACCCAAGAGGTGTGGCATATACTACGATGGTCGAATTGACCTTGACACACAGGGTGTCTAGATGTCTGCATTTCGTGACAAAAAAATCTGATTGCGGCTTATACTCCAGTGCAGCTTATACTCCGGAAAATGCGGCACGTGTAATCGTTATTCAAGAACACCTTTATGCATGGTTGACTCCCACCGGCTCAGTGTCAGTCTCTACTGCAGTTTGTCAACTGACTACCGACATTCTGCCCAACGTGTAGTACAGTCGTCCCTCTCTAATCCGGCACTTGTTTATCCGGAACCCTTGCCAACCGGCGCACTTTCGGACGAAACCGATTTTTTTCGTTCAATTCCTACATCTTAATCCGGCACTTGAATTCCGCCTCCGGCAGTGACTTTTTGAAACGAATCGCTCAAACTGCACGTAGTTTGATTTTCATAATCCGGCAGTCGTAAATCGACTGTGCGTGTGTGTGCAAGAGTACGTATACATGTGAACATGTTCTGTTTTACTTTATCACTGTGTATATTCCGGGAGAAAAGTTGAGAATATAAAGCCGTGCACCAAATATTGGGGTCGACACGGAAAAACCCTGCGTTTTGACGTATGATACATGCATGCAATTGGGTAGGGCCGGGTCAGAGGGCAGGATTTCTTAATCCAGCACCCTCGTTAATCCAGCAGAAAATGCCGTAGCAAAAGGTGCCGGATTAGAGAGGGACGACTGTACCAGGATGTACAGTTCTACAGTGGCATTTGACAAGTTGTACACCTTCACTGTAACATCCTGCTATCCTCCTCTTGGTGTGTTTCATGCTATCTTCCTCTTGCTTTGTGTCATGTCTAGATTGACGTCAGCCAGTCTATTCCGGTCTCTTCCTGGGCATCTGAGACCCTGTTTCTCCCGTCCGTACTAGTCTGGCTACTCCACAAACCAGATGCCAGTTTTGAACTTCCTATTATCAGGCAAGCCCATGTGCTGAGCACACACTAACACGCACACACACACATGCGCGCGCACACGCACGCACCCAGCTAGTGCCAATGTTGTTCCGGTGTGTGTAATGAAGTACACGTCATGGTTGCTTGGACTGGCTGCGACCGTGTGGCAGCTAAGCTTCAACCTGTCGTCAACAACGCAACGGCTAGAACCATCAAAAATCATTGTCAACTTGAACTTTTCTTGGCAGCCACTGCCATTGACACTATGAGTATGATGTCTGCACTGGCAGAGAATCACTTCTTCGTCCATTATTGTACTTGGTGATAGCTGCTAGCTGTATGTTTGGTTTCTTGCAGGTCTGGCATCCTGCGCCATGCGAAAGAGCACCGTCTTGCCCTGGAGGAATCTCACAACATCATCTTTACAGTAAGCGCATTAGGCTGCCAGTACATGTGCATGGCCGATAGTGTACTCATACCGTACAGTCCCGTTGATACGCCCCCTCTCAAATTTCCGCCCCTTGTTGAATTTCTACCTGTGAAGCGACTTCAGCGTACATGTACCGGTATGTCAAAAGACGGTGCTGACTTGTCCAATGTACAGTAAATATCTCTGCTTTTCTGATTCGGTTCTGTCACCAGATCTTCAACCTGCACCAGCTGATATCCGCTGCTGTGCCCTTCTTCATAGCACTCAGTGGCCATGATGCTATCTCCTCTCTGGTTGCTAGTGGGTGCCTGGCATCGCGTTCCATCACAGTCGTGTCCAGCCATGAGTTCACGAATCCATGAAGACGTATGTGTGCTGCTGCATGGGACGGAATTCACCCGTGAGGTCTTGATGCTGGCTGAGGAGAAGTGCAACTTCACCGTCTCGCTGCTGGTATGGATGTCTTGCATGGCGTGTAGCTTGTATTGGCAGTCTCTAATCGTCCGGACCAGACACATGTTGGTCTCAGTGTATAGTATTATACGCGTCACAGTCAGTTAGTGGCGGATATGCTGCTAATAAGGCGATGTGTGGGCAATCCACTCATCTGCACTTCGTCCTTTCCCGGCATGGCTGTAGCATCCCCTGACGCCATGCTCGATGTTTGGTCTGCAGAGAGCTACGAGCTGGAGACTGAACTGCATGCTCCACGTGTGCAGATAGAGCTGGTGTGACTCTGTCTCTTCCCTGGACTGAGCATGCAGGTGGCCCTTTGCCATACATCATGTTTTATCCCGGTACATAGGCTGGTTGCATGCCCAGCGGCACAACAACTATGCCATCTCTTTGGATGGCCAAAGAAATATTTTCATTCTCTCGAATAAGTTTTATGCTCGTGCATTTACGTAAATTATACATTATCGCTGCAACTGTTTGGTTTTTGCAGCATCAGAATTATGCACCCATAGAGCCTGTACTGCACAAATCACCCAGACACCATCGACCACACACATTAGAGTCATCGTCATCATCACTTTTATTCTCTTTGGAGACTTCTTGAGGCTGTTTTCAAGGATATCCTTTGTTGATTTGCGTCAATGAGTCGGTAGCTGAAACCGATTTCCTCTCCACCATGCACCAGTTGTGTTGAGTGGCAGTCTTCAACGCTCACAGAGTCAAACTTGACCTGAATAACTATCCTGCTACTATGCCATGTATGCAGCACAAGAGCAACGTGGGGGGGGGGGGGATATGCAGACTGGGAGCCGAAAACTACACTAAGTCGAGTCGCGCACCGAAGAATGTGGAGCGCGAGAAGGCCCAGCCTGCAATACTAGAACGCCAGTGTTTGGCGTTCTGGCAGCTTTCGCGATACATACGGCAGTGTCCTGTGTAAAAGCCCATCTCGTATAGAAGTCTGTTTTGAATACAAGACTGATTTGTTAAAAGATACACTGTCAGCACCTAAGGGGCCGTCCAAGGTTACCAATAATATTTTCAAAACGAAATGTTTTCGTTTGTGGGTAGGTGGGTTTGATGGAGTTTCGTTTTGAAAATAATTATTGAATGCTGATGGAGAATGCCCAGTTACTTCTGGATGTCGAAAATTGACATCAATATTTTATTGGAATTCGTTTTACCTGCAGAAAAGGTGGGGGCTGAAAAATACTAAAACTTTTCGTTTTGTAAAAACAATCGGTAACCCCGGACGGCCCCTAAGCCTGGTTTAGTATTGACATACATAGAGATAAGTGGTTCGAATAGAAGCCTAGCACTGACATCGGCTTCTATAGGAAAAAATCACGGCTTTTATGCGTGACATACCTTGCAGAATATAGGATTTGTAGAATTAGCACAGAATTTACTGTTTTCAGCTGCAGAATTCTGCAGGGAATTTCTGGGGGACAGACTACTACAGTATTCACTTCATCTTGGAACACGAAAGATCCGACTTGCTACACTGGATCGTGCACATTTCTATCCACACGGCACCTGCTTTGGCATGCAATGAAGCATTGTGTACAGCAGAGCAGCTGTCAGCCACTATCGATGTCTTATGGCAACCTTTTGCAGTCCCGTGTGGCTGTCATCAGGGGATTTGTTAGCACACAATAGCACCAAAGCCATAGCAGTGCTTGCACATGTGGATCTACACATGGACACACACGTTCTGTACTCTCACACAGAAAGGCAACTGTGGATTGGTCTTTGGAGCGGAGGCTACAAGTTTTCAGGAGGAGAGCAACATGAAAGTTAGTAGAGACGCTGGGGCTTTCCCATAGTACTCTTGATGGTCAGAGAGCGAACGTTCTGCCAGTTCTTCTTCAGCAGGGAGACGAGGAAGTTAACGGACATGAAGATGTTGGAGACGAGCTCGTCCTCGCCCATCTTGACATGACCGACGGCGACGGCAAGGCACAAAACCTGACAAAAACAAAGGAAAACACATAACAGCGGAACGGGTTATTGTCACCAACGAAAGCAGAACTTGCCCCCCCCCCCCCCCTGAACATCTAGTTGCCATCCTCCTCTCACAGGCCAAACTGTGGGCATACTGACACAACACAATCTGAGAAAACCAATACTGTGAAGTGAGTGTCAGATAAATCCGCCAAAGCCTCCAATATAAAGCTAGACACTCCATAATTATAGTTTACCAGAATGAGGGTGATCGGCACCTATTTTATGGCACACGGCATAATTGAGGTAGGCTGGCATTACTTTCCTTGCCACCTTCACGCCCAGCAATGCTAGGTACTCATCAAGGCTGAGTGAACCTAGGAAGTGGCAGAACATTGCAAGTCAAAGCTTGCAACATCAAAAGGATCATCTTCAACAGTTCATTACCTTCTTCATCTGGAACTTGATGGTGCTCTTGAGTTCCTCAACCTTGTGCTTCATGTTCTCGGAGTGAGTCAGCTGGGTGGGGAACTTTCCCATCTTGTTCAGACCGGGTCCAAGAAGACGTGGGATCTGCTTGATCAGAGTGTCGGAGGCCAGGAAAGCATCGTATTTCTTGCCTGTACAACGGAATGCAAAGATGACAGGAAGTATTAGCAATTTTACTAAGCCCAAGCTGTAGCCAAAACCGTACAGCAGCTATCGACAGGGTGTTGAACAAGAATACCAAAATGACAGGATATACTAGGAGAGTGAAGTAGACCGAGCACATCACACGAGCAGGGAAACCAAGCACGGCCCTGACGATAGCACGTCAAATCAATGTGTACTAGACAGGCCTGGAGGCAGCTCCTGAGACGATACGGCCAGCTTTCCATGCCCACTTTTATTGTCACGGGAGGATGCATCTCTAGCTCTGGTTGTTTCAGGTACACAGTCTGCTAGCAACAGATATACAGCCAGCACCAAGAGTATTTAGATGGTCCCGAGAGTGTACAATTCCTGATACCTTTTTACGGGGTTCACCAACGGCAAAAACTCACATCAAGTGGTGCAGCGGGCGCGTTGTATGTTTCCAGCCAGTTTTAACGAGCAGGGAGTACAGTCAAATCTGTCGTAAGCGACCGCCCCTTGGTGCAAGAAAAAGCGGTCGCTTACGGCAGATGGTCTCCTACGGCAGATGTATGGTAAATCCGGCATACCAGGTATATGCTTCCATGTACTCAAATCGACGAGAATAATGTGATTTTTATTATCATTTTATTGGATATTCAACGACGACCATACCCATAGTACGCGTATGCGACACGGCAGTAGATCGACACTGCCTGGACTTGAGAGCTACAGCACAGCCTCAGTACTCGTACAGGCCAGGCGCCAGTCGATCGCACTTGCAAGACAGCGCATTTTCACACTTTGCAGGTGACAGCGCACTGGCAAGTACATGTACAGTTTCGCACCTGACTGAACCTGGGTCGCGGTCGCTTACAGCAGATTCGAATGCAGCCACCGTGCATGAAATCGCGGTCGCTGGTCGCGCACAGCAGATGGTCGCTCTGGACAGATCAGTTTGTATGTGAAACCGTCGGTGCACGGAAAATCGGTCGCTAACGGTAGATGGTCGCCTACACCAGAGGTCGCTAACGGCAGATTTGACTGTAATAAAAAACGAACATGCTGACAGAAAAAAACTGCATGTATGCAAATTCCCACCATGATCATTTCAGATATTTACATTGCACGCACGCTATCCTTAATCGTACGTAGTATGACACGCAATGTGGGTTTCGCCGTCGGATACCCCACACGCAGAGTTTCATACTCTTGGGAGCTTTAAATATACACTTTTGCAAGCATAGAAGCCTTCATCGGACAAGAAGAAAAGCATGAGGAAGAGACGCTAGCAAGGGGCGCATAAGGGTAACTTTCATCAGACAAACCAGGCATGTCTATGCGTCATATCCTAACAAAACCCTCTGCAAAGCAAAACTGCGGCACTCACCAAGCTTCTTGACGAGCTTCTTGTTCTTGTTCAGCTTCTTCAGGGCCTCGACGTCCATGAAGGAGAAACCAAGTGCCTTAGCCTCATCGCAATGCTGCTGGTCACCGAATACGCAGATGCGCAGGTTGGGGCGGGGGATGTGCTTCAGACTGCAAACACACAGAAACACGCACACACGTGGAAAGAAAAGGATGCTCACTCAGTACAATGCCCTGTCATCCACCGTCACGACGTGATATCACACTCACTGCCACACACAGGATAAACCCAAGACGCTATGGCTACCATACGTAGTGACCAGGTTGGAACATTAGCAGACAGAGTTTTAGTCACACCACATCATCCCTTCGCTATCATATTATTGGGCATACTGTTTGACGTTGCGAAGTAAAATAAAGAATACATACATACCCACAGAGGCAAGGAAAGGTACTTGTGATTTTGCACGGTAACTGATACAGACGGAGGCAAGCGAATGCACACGTACACGGCAGCACACTGCAGTTGGAACCAATACATCTGGCCCTACATCAGCTCGTGTGCAGTATGGAGATATGTAGCATAAACACATCACCTTGTGCATTTCATCTTGCTACACTGTGCAATATAAAAACCCTCAAAATGCTGGGTGAGAGTTTAATGCCTAACCAAATACCATGACTGTGCAGAATAATTACAATTTAGATACATGTACGCAGGCGAGAGAATGGATATGTACTTTATAATTTGAATCACAAGCATTGGAAGTTGCAATTCAAGTTCTGAATGCTCAAAATAGTGTTCATGAAAAAGGAAACTCGCTTGTAACGATTTACTCTGATCAGGTAAGTGTTCATTGTTTGTTCCGGATTGCACATGAATACTGCTAACGCCTCACTATTGGCATATCTCAAACTAAGTTCGATTTTCAAAACAATTCTGCAATCGACATTTTAAAATTCTCAAGCAAGCAGAGTTGAAAAGTGATCAGTTTGCTACGATGTGCAGGGACAGTATTCGCGCAGGAGCTATTAACGTTGCAATACACATACTAGCATGCCAATTGTAAAGTAAGTCTTTGCACTGAGTAGCACTATTCTTCCATATCATTTTGTAGTACAAAAAAAATTCGAGTCAATTATCTAACAGGAAATCGAAACTGAGAATACACAAAGTGTCATAATTGAAACCAGGTCGTGGTTCCGCTGCGCCGCGACGAGACTTCACGATACAAGACGAACACACAAAGAGACGATCAAGGCAAGAGAACTAACCGGACGGTACCGCTGAAACGCTTGTCCTTTTGGGGGTCATAGTTCTTCAGGGCGATCTGAAGTTCCACAGTTTCGCAGAATTTACGCTGCTTCTCCTGGGAGCCCTTGATGACTCCTTGCACGCACTCGTACAGGGAATCACGGGTGATCTTGCTGCACACACCCGCGGGCAACACAACGGAATAAACATGATGAGAATCCAATCTCCAAACCCTGGCGATGGTGAAAGCTGAAAACACACCTCATCTTTGCTGCTCCTCGTGTCCGCCTCAATCAACAAGAAAGGACATTGGCGCATGCGCACCGGTCTGAAGAGGGCATTTCGGCACGAGATGGCCAAGGTGTTCGTCGCCACGGGCGACCCGCTAGCTGCACGAATCTGTGCGCCGCGGTCGCTAGCCGCGGTACACCAGATGCACACGGCTCGACGACACGACTCACACGAGCCAGCAGTTGTAAAATGCTAACTTTTGAAGTTTTGTCAGTGGGCACGTGACGTGACTCACCAAAGACTCTTTTTTGAAAGATCGCCTGATTGATTGTTTCTTCAAACATTGAAATCGATTTCTTGGCTTTCAGAAATGCCACACACACATACGAACTCCACTCCAGTATTGTTCTTTGCCTTTTTTAGTTTTTCGGGAACAGCTTGTATAATAATATAGACGCTGCCTACCATGACATGAGTTGTTTTGCAGTCCTCTGCCGCGTGAAAGCTGCTTCTCCAGGTTCCTGTCGTTGGGCACTCAGTGCTCGTGTTTATAGCTACACAGCGTTCGGTTGGACTCCTGCAGAGCAAAGCAATTTTTCCGGCGAGCCCATCATGAATACGTCCTATTTGCAGGTCCTGGGCACTGGCCAGACGGACAGCTTTCCGTCGATCGGCTTGATGTGTCCACGAGTGAGGTTAGTCCAGGGTCATAGCATTTTTTTTCATTCTTTGCTCGCCAATATTATATCGATGAGGGAGGGCAAATAACAAGTGGCAGTATTACCATGTACTCACGGCTGTTTTTTTGTGTGATTTCACGCCACTTAACAATATGGCCGCCGAAAGTCTCGATTGGGCTTCAATGGCAAGAAAATTTGAATTTTCAAATCGTCAGAACACGAGTAGGCCATGGTTTCCCCTGGATTTTGGAGACTAGTCAGCCCGGACAGCCCGGGGAACACGCTGATCATCTGCGTCTTGTTTCAAGCTTTCCGCTCGTACCTCACATGACTGCCTTTCCTTCAAGAAACATTTGTTCTGCGTCGTGCGACTTTGGCTTCGTTCTGGAATACTCCTTGTGTCGTCGCTGACAAACTCGGCTCCGAGAAGCCCCTCCCGATTTTTTCCCAGCTTAGATCGATTTTTTCCCAGGTAGAGGACTATCCTCTGGTTGTCTTCCCCAAGTGTCATTAGAATACGCGCGTGAACTTCTAAATACGCGCGACGAGTCAGGAGCCTGTTTTCTCTTGATTTGGAAGACAAAATGGTGTGGCCCTTTAGTTGCTGTTGAGTGTAGAAGGCTGCTTCCTGCTGTAAATTGCTTAGTCGGCATGTGGGATATTGTAGAAGAAGACAGCAGCCGGCCAAGTGAGCTTGAAATTGTGATATCTACCCTATTGTGCGTTGAACGATTACGAAATGTCTAACTTGGATGTTGTACACGCGAGCACGCCAAGCAGAGGCTGGCAATCACACGGCGAGATCAATCTCCAGACTGCCAGGAGTAGTTCGAGCAAGTTTGAAGCGGAAAGACAGCTAACTGGGCAGGCCAGGACGCCTTTCCACCCTCTTTCTCTCTCAAATTGCCGAAAAGTCGAGTATCTCGCTCGAGCGCTTTCAAAACTTTTCTCTTGGTTTCGCGTCCCAAATCGTGGAACCACGCGAGGATCGACATGAGTTTCTTGCAAAAACGCAAACTCATCGCGTATTTGTACTATTCGCACAATGTTACATAAATCGCACCGAACGACGCCATATTGATAAGTGCCTGCACGTGAACAGCCGTGTACTAGTAGTAGTATAGTACAATACTACCCCCCCCCCCCCCCCCCCAATTAGCAGGAAGCAATTAGAAAAGTACTTGGGGGTGCTACAGCACAGTAGTACTTTGCGAGGAGGCATACAATCAAGGGAATGATTACCGGTACACTATAATTATAGCTATCTGCGCATCTACAACAAACATGTTCATACGGAATCGTTTATCAGGGAGTGCTACACTAATTTTGTATGTTTTTCATTCCTTGTTCGAAAACACATGGCGGCGAGCAAGAAACTTAGGAACGGAATGGTGTGGCCTGGGAAGGGACATGTTTGCATTGCCAAACCCAGTACTGGCCAAAGAAATCAAACCTCATGAATAAAATAGCGCCGGGCGCTGCACAGCCCTAGCACTACACACGCTGCTCTGTGTCGTGTGAGTGTGAACTCTAACGCGGCGCTACTTTATTCATGAGGTTGGATTTCTCTGGCCAGAACTGTGCGTACCATATAGCCGGATCTGGACATCATTGTACATGGTTGTACGCTAAAGTAATAGTCACAGCTTGCATGTTTCTCGGCGCAGCTACATGCCGGGATCAACATATCTGTGTCAAAACTAGTACATTCAGCCATGAAGTTTGGTCGGTGACAACCTTGAGCCATTCCTTTAATAATATTTGTCTCCATATTTGTAGCCCAATGCAGGTCTCTCTTGGCAATATCAAGAGTACCAAGAGTGTGCAACTCGACAATCCCCCAGCTAGGCCTGTCCGCGAAATGTGAAAAAATCACGAAAAATGGAAATTCAAAATTGGAAATAAAATCGATAAATACTCAGATGGTGAGCCAAGGAAAATATTTTAAAAATGGAAACAAGGAAAACGTTTACTTGTAGTTGGTGGACTCATTTTTCGGTTTTTGATCTGTGAACCTGAACGTTTTTTTGTGACAAGGCAATACTGGAATATGGAAAGATGGGTGAACTGAAGAATGCCAAAGGCGCAAACTCTAAGTAATGCGATGTATTTGGTACATGCCCACTCTAACGCATAACGTGTGCCCTGCCGTTTTCCTTGTTTCCATTTTTAAAACCGATAGCATTCATAATACCAAAAACTAAAAATTCACAACGAACCGGCCAAAAAATGGCCGTTGCCATGGCAAGCAGTTGCAAATATGGTGGTTTGCGCCAGATTCAAGTCCACATCGTTGTCCTTTGGCGATCTGAAAGTGAGTTTGGAACTGGACATCCTGCTTCTTCTTGCGATTATAGTATCTCTGTTCATCGTCTTCTGGCGGAACTATATGGATCCATCTATGGCACCGATGATGCCTTGCACGCCAGATGTTTCTCTAAATCCAGCTTCAGCCTGAGTCAGAAGCACTTGAGACGTTGGCCAGACAATTACATCCTCCATTAAGTGGCACAAGGCTATACATATTCTCCAGACAATACTATGGGTGGTGGACTTGCTAATTCCAAAGCGATCAGCCAGATTGAGGTATGACTCTTGATTCCCTAGGAACCATAAGCAAATCATCACCTGCTTCGTACAATCAATGGGTTGCCTGCCATGGAGCTGTGCAATTGGAACACCAGGGTTGTTCAACTTGTTAGCTACACCGGCCACGATAATTTCGAATGTGGGTCGGGTCACATGGAAATCCTGGCGAAAATCGTCCATGGAATAACTGGGCACAGTTACTTCAGCAAAATGTGTCACTCTTGGCATTGCTGCGCACCGGTATAACAGTCCAGGAACATCATAAGCGGAGCAATATCGAACCGAGCAGGGAACAGCATTTCTTCTCTCTCGTCATCATCAAATAGCGTCCAGATCCAAGGGAATACCTCGACATTGTCCATTCTTCAGGCATGACTTCCAGCATCAAAAGGAAAAATGGAATCTTCTGCATGCGAAAGAAAAACGCTGAGAAGAAAGTCAGGATCAAACGGCAGTTTTTCCGTGCAATAATTATGTTCAACATCACGCCGTTCTACTACTGGAAGAGATTCCGCAAGCTCCGACCATTCATGAATGGATTCAAAGAGCGATTCAAGTGCGTAGTCGAACGCACTCAGTGTTCACTGCGATCAGTTTCTAAAGTGACTTGCTCGTACATACAACTCCCAGCCACAGGAGCACAACGATTATGACCCCACTCAGGAAGGTTATTGGTTTCCTGAGCTCAGAGGCCAGATCTGCTAGCCTGCTTACAAATCTTTTAAAGTGATGCACGGCCACCTTAAGCCAGCAGGTCCACTATCTTCCTTCAACCTTGGCGAAGACAGAGTTTTAGGCGCTTGGAGAGCTAGAGCTGGGGCAGGTGCGCCTGATCTGTATCAGGGAGATCTTGCACGGAGTAGACTATGTGGCTATGTGACATGTTGAGGACATTGAGACTGTAGTGGATGCTGTGAGCTGTTTTTTCTTTCTTTTTTTCTCTCTCTTTCCTAAGGTTGGTATTCAATTCCAGTGAAAATCAACAACGTGTCCTGGCAGAACACACCGAGGGGTAAGAAGCTCGCTCGCTCTCTCTCTCTCTCTCTCTCTCTCTCTCTCTCTCTCTCTCTCTCTCTCTCTCTCTCTCTCTCTCTCTCTCTCTCTCTCTCTCTCTCTCTCTCTCTCTATTTCTCTCTCATTCTCTCTCTCTATTTCTCTCTCATTCTCTCTCTCTCCTCTCCTCTCCTCTCCTCTCTCTTTTGCTCGCTTGCTTTCTGCTAATCCTGGAGGATTGTCGAACATTAGCACCCTTCATGTTTCGCATTCGGCTCTTTCCTGTTGGTTTCTGGCTAGCGCAGTATTCGCCTCAGCCGCGTCAACTGTTTCTTCTTCACGCGTGGCCATTGGGACAATATTGCCGGCATGCCAGGTATGTAGAAACAGGGCTACTTGTCTGCAACATGAATATTATATTGACCCATTAATGTGCCATGTGTGGGTAGATGTACTATGGTTGGAGGGAAGGTATAGCAGGGTTACCATAGCATATGCCTGCCTCTTTCAATTGCACAAGAAAGAGAGCGCAAGTTCCGGTTGAAAATGCGCCTTGCTCCTTGCATTGAGGTCTTTTCCGTCACTTTGCCAAGCATTCCTTTGCCTCTTATCATTACACTCAAATGTCTCTTATCCGGGCCACTTTCTATATACAGTCGCACTTTATAAACCAGCATCCTCGATAAACCAGCACAATTTTCAGTAGCCAAAATGTCCTCTTCATGCACATTGTAGCAGTAAATCAGATTTGTTAATCCAGCACCCTCCCTAATCCAGCACCCTCCCTAATCCAGCAGATTTTCCGTGGCACAAATGGTGCCGGATTATAGAGGGACCACTGTAGAATTAATTATATCATTGTTCTAGCTCTAATAATAATAAGAAATGTGGCATTTCCTTAGAAACGGAGGTTCTCCAGCTCTGCAGAGGTTATACCAGCTGTACACAGGTGAGAACTGGTCTACATAAATGATCACAGCTCTGCAGAGGTGAGAACACTTCTAACAGAGGTGTTAACTCAAGTGTGCATTGCTGCGACATGACATGCAGTGCTAGAAATGGTGCGGAGCAGCTATCAACAGAAAACTGTGAAAAAAATCAGAAAACTGTGAAAAAAAATTCAGTGTCAGTGCACCATGTTTCTTTATCATTCCGGTGTGTATATTCTATCCCCATGCAAAAAAAAGAAAAAAAGAAGAAGCTATCAACAGACAGTGACTGCACCGAGAGCGCCGTGTGGAGTGGTGAAGTGACTGATTTTAGCGCCTTTGCGAAGTTTGTCACTACATGTAACTGCTTTCCGCACCATTTCTAGCGCTGCACACCATGTCCCAGCACTTTGCGCTTGCATTATCACCTCTGCTAGGATGTCTCCTATCACCTTTAGCACCTCTGTTTCTTTGGGAATGCCACACTTCGATGTAGAAAGTGCGCGATTGCGCCAGTTTCGGCCTATAAAGCAGCATTCATTCACCTCGCATCATTCACTATCTGTTGCGTCCACTGATGAGCTCTGTTGGTGCAAAATAGCTGTCCGGAGAGTCTGCCATGCTAAAAGCTCAACTAAATTGTCCGCTATGATGGCGCTTATGTGCAAGTGGAGTGGGTCGGCCAAGAGTGTTGTTGTGGTGAAGTGACTGGTGTTAACGTGGTGGCTGGATTTATCGCTAATTTTTCTCATGAGACAGTTCGTTCTGCCTGGTATTTGCACTGGAGCTGTTTGTGGTGGCGTTGTGCTGTGCTGTGTACCTGGCACGTGTACCGGTACTTGAACTGAACGTTTTGACCTGCTGTCTGGGTTACTCTCTGTGTGTCTCCTTGCTACTGCCTCTTATATTCTTGTTACTGTATAAGCAGAAATATTCGTCTGGAATTTAATTTCGTCTTTTTCGTCCAAGGAACTTTTGGACTAAATTAAGTGCCGGACTAATGTCGATTTGTCCAGCTTTTCTATACACTATTATGATCCATGGACGAAATTTTCAACCGGACGAACTCCCTTTCTTAGGAGTTGGACGAAATTATCTCCCGACGAAATTTTCTGCCTCTACAGTACATAAGTATCTGCCTCTACAGTACATAAGTATCTGACTCTACAGTACATAAGTATCTGCCTCTACAGTACATAAGTATCTGACTCTACAGTACATAAGTATCTGACTCTACAGTACATAAGTATCTGCCTCTACAGTACATAAGTATCTGCCTCTACAGTACATAAGTATCTGACTTCCGCAAGGTGGTAATAGTAATTCTTGTTGAAAGCAGTCAGATTCTTCTTGTATTCAGGTGACAATGGACGGAACTGCCTGTGTTGTTACTGCAGGATCATGCCTCACTCACTGGCAAGTCGGCAAGTACAACTTGAACTACTGTGGACCGAAAGCGACCGTAAGGTTCTTCCTCTCCATGCACTAGTTGTCGTAGGTTGTCAGCTGGTACCCTGTCAGGTTTGCAGTGGTGTGTGTTTTAATGTAGCTAGTGTGCTTGTTCACTACATTGATATATTACTTGGTAACCTGACTCGCCACCTTACATGTACAGTCAACTTCGCTAATAACGACTGCGGATATAACGACAATTCGCGAATAACGACAGAATTTCCATGCCCAGAGCAAAGTCCCATCTAACTATAATACATAATATTAGAATGAGACTTCGGGTATAAGGACACTTCGCGAACAACGACACTTTTCTGATGCCCCGCCGCGTGTCGTTATACGCAAAGTTGACTGTACTACATTATACATGTACATGTTCTCACTACTCAATACTCAAATTGTAGTGCAGTATTACAGTGCTTCCTGGCGTATCCGCACAAATGTACTTTGAACTAGACAACGACTTCAAAGGGCATGTAGCTGCTTGGGTAAGTGACATCATCCTGGTAGTGTGTATTGAGGTGCTTACAAGACAGACATTCTTTTTTTTTACGGGCAAATAATTAACACAATGGATTAAAATGCAATAAACCATACACTGCACTGGAGAAGAAATCAGAAAAATGCATGTGTGAAATAAAGATTTTCAAACCCAAACAAAACAAAACTTCAAATCAATTTTTATATAATTTAAAAAAAAGAACTGAATCAATAAACTCAATTCAAAATGCTTAGACATTCTCCATGCCGTCCAAACCCGAGATTGTAATTGTGGACTAGGCAAGCAAGAAGTACATGATGGTACTGATTTTCTCTAGGGTCTTCACTGTATTTCATGTTACCCGTCTGTGTATATATCAGCTATCCAAAGTATGCCGGGTTAAGTACAGTATGCACTACTCTTCTGATCTTCTCCATGTAGAGCAATATCCTTCGCTCACTGGTTCCGTTCACCATGCACCCCGCGGCAATGCCAGAAGGTATGCAATGCTTATAATAAAGTTATTTTGTGTTCAGCAGTAGTGGCTTCTCCGTGTTGTGTCACGTGTTAGTCCCTGAGGAGCTGTGTCTGTTTTCTTTGTTTGTGCTGTGCTGTGTGTGTGTGTGTGTGTGTGTGTGTGTTGTGTTGCGGCCATTTTATTTGCTTCAACTGACAAGTAATTTTCTCTCTCTCTCCCTCTCTCTCCTCTCTCTCTCTCTCTCTCTCTCTCTCTCTCTCTCTCTCTCTCTCTCTCTCTCTCTCTCTCTCTCTCAGCCATGGCCGAGTACAGTAGTGAGGATGCAACTTACCCCGTTCAGACATTTGATGATGGTGTGACTGTGACTCCATTGGTCTTCTCAGGTAAGTCCTTGGTGAGAAACGTACGCAACCATCAGTCCATCTGCAGGATTATCCTGACAGTCCATCCTCAAGCGTGCAAAAAACATATCTCTGCCACTAATCGAGACTTACACTGATTTTTGCGCTTTTGGGCCCAAATAAGTCTTGATGACGGCAAAAAAAATTGTCAACTGAATACGGAAGTGAACGAATTTGGTCGAAAGTGTCGAACCACCTTCATGACGAGCAACCGTTTGTGGCCACTGTTTGTGAACTTGGAGCTTGTTATGGTGTGTGTCGGCAGGAATTTTTTTATGGCGATCAGGAAACGTTTTTCACATCGAAATCAGTGGTTACCCTTTGAAATTGAGCTGTTCAAACAGCGAATTTTCTACGTCGAAATGAAGTTGGAGCACCATCGAGTTTGATTATTCCGATTTCCTTGGTGGGCTAAGGTAAGGGTAATTAACAGCTAGACATAAAAATCTCACCTGTTCACGCCCTGTATAATCCAACTTCGACTTTCAAAGTGGGCGTACTCAAGCAACATAAATCATACATGCCGTATACATAAACCTTTGAATGGAGCATGAAAACACGCAAACGCATAGCTGTGTATACATTGTACATTGTGCATGCACATGTACATGCATGTGTGTACATTGTAGACCCTAGTTTGTGTCCCTCTGTGTGTCTCGGTGTGCCGTCAATGCTGTATTCGACAACCGTAAGCATAAGGAGGAAGTTGCCGTAGTACGTGCTCTTGTGTGTAGTATGTGTGCCGCGTTCAGTTGCTGTCTAGTATGAGATATCGGTACATGTAGCCGGGCTGGTGGTGCGTATTGCCTTGATGTGGATCACCTACACACTGTAACTCGTGGCCTTCTAGAGCCCGTCGAAACGCATGCCGTTTCATATGTATGGTCTCGTGGTGTGTGTGTGTGTGTGTGTTGTGCGTGTGACTGTGTGTGTGTGTGTGTGTGTGTGTGTGCATGTGTGCGTGTGTGTGTCAAAATGCACGCCGTTTCAGATTTATGGTCTCGTGGTGTGTGTCTGTGGTAGGGACCGGCGGATTCTGCTCGAAAAGGTGGCAGATTCTGCTCGAAAAGCAGTGAAATTGGCAGAACCATACAAACCTTATGGCGGGCAATTCCTCGAGTTCTGCTCCATTTCTTTATCCACATACCAAACAGGCATGAAACTTGCCAGAAAAAGTACCGAATTCTCCCAATTTTTCTGCCGGCAGAATCCGCCGGACCCTAGTCTGTTGGGGGGGGGGGGGGGGGGGGGGTGCGTGTGTGTGCGCGCGCGTGTGTGTGTGTGTGTGTGAGTCTGTCTGTCGCGCTCACAATATCTCGTTATCTGCTTATGAAGCTACATGTACATGTATGTGTTATTTGCAAAAGATTACAATGTAGAGGTGATTGTCTGCTTTGCGTTCCTCTCTGCTTGGCCTGCATTATCAATTTATCAGTACTGGTTTTTGCTCTTCACACATACACGTACCCCCCCCCCCCCCGCACACAAACAAACACACACACACGCGCACACATGCTTATGTATACGGTTTCAGTTTGAAAAATGCAAAGTGTCCTGTACATGTGTGCGTCTGATGCATTCACACGAACTTCAACGGTCTATGCATATACCATGCACGCGTCACTTCTCCTTTGAGGAAAGAAAACCAAAGCATATCAATGCAATCACATACATGTATACAAACTTTTAAAAGTGTGTGAATGTACAACGTACGTTTGTCTTGTTTATGCTGTGTGTCACTTTGCATGCTCTGGGCATGGAAATTCTGTCCTATTCGCGAATTGTCGTTATATACGCAGTGGTTATTAGAGAAGTTGACTGTATGTGAATGTACAAAGTACGTTTGTCTTGTTTATGCTGTATGCCACTTGCTTGGCCACCCGTGTTGCGTTCTCTCTGTTTCGGCTATTGCTACTGCACTGTTCTAGCCAGAAATTAGTGTTGATAGGAAACCGAGTGCGAACCTGGCTAGGCTTTGTTGGTGAGGTACTCTCATATGTGCGTATCCGTGCTCGTTTGTATTCCTCCGACGGTGTGGCACACACATGTGATGTATGCGAAGTGTATCCGGCATGTACGAACAGTGTGTGTGCATCCGTGGCACGCAAGTTGGGCATGTTTGTGCTCCACGTGTGCATGTAGGATCTAAATGTGTGTAACGCAAGCGTGTGGGGCACACCCATTAGGTCTGCGGCACCGTGACATGGCCAGTATGTGATGTCCGACACGGGTGTGCAGGAGTGGCGCGCGGGCGTGTTCGCAATGTGCACGTCTATACTCCAGCGTATTGTCCACTTTCCTGGTCCCAGGAGTGTTTTGGATCTGTGGAAAACACGTGAACTGTATACAGTGGAGTTAGTTTGAACTCGTGCGTGCTTTCTGTGCACAGGTTTATCTACGGAATTGAGTATGGTCAAGAAATGCGTCTGAAAAACCTGGAGCACCATCGATTTTGCCATAACCATTACTCGAATGTCCGAGAGCAGGGTCGAGGGCAACCACATTGTCGAAAATTACACCTGTTCACGCCCTCCTTTCAGGTTACTGGCTCGATTTCGCCGACTGTTCTGAATCGTACGAAAAATTCAAATGTTCTCCGCCGAATGGCACCATCACAAAGTCTTTCGGATCATTTTCGATATGCACCTCGCGAACATACCACCTTCCTGCACCCATACACCACAAACAATGCATGCTCCATTCGACGAGGTGGGTGTCATGAGTGTTCTTTCACGTCAGTCGCCGAAAGTCATTTCAGGGTGAGAATCGTTCTCAAGAAAAAGATCGCAAAAATCAGTGTAAGTCTCGATGGAACGCTTGAGGATGGACTGTGAGTTGTGCACTCTTGGGAGATTACTGTAATTTCACACCTTTTGGTGTACTTTTATTTTTGGTACTTTCGGTGCATCTCTTTCATACCTAAAATTTCAATAGCCGCACAAACACTAACACACATAATCTAATAGGGAACTGCTTCTCTGTACCTAATATTTCTGTTCACCTAACCGGGTCTTTTGCCCTCATACCTAACATTTAGAGCACACCTTGCTATAACCTGTGACATTGTGTTTGCCTGTTCTTCTCTGCAGTGCCCATAACACAGTCAGAGCCTCGGCCGCAGCAGTTTCTGCTATCGGGCTCTATGACTCCCTCACCGGCCTCATCGGACAACGGTTAGTAGCGGAGAACTGTACGGTTCTGTTAGTCGACTCGCTGTGTGCAGCAGCCTTCGGTCACGATAAGTCCATCTGCACTGAAACAATTTGAGGATGGCGATCCACAGGACCAACTGAATCGACATTTCATAACGGCTTTATCGTATATGTATTACCAAGAGTCCATGGACTCTTGGTAATACGAAGAACGTGATATGGTGCACAAAGAGGAAAACTGAAACTGTTCGTTGTAACGTACCTTCAATGGCCGTAATAACCTGCTCTTTTCTCTGTGTAATTCTTGCTTTTGATTTTTTTTTAATGTACTCCTTTTTTCGTCGTCTCTTCTTCAGAGAGTGACTCGAACAACAGTACTGACGACCATCCGCCAGCGAAGAGATCGTTTGTTGGTGCCTTCTCCCGTCCCTCGTCCAATGCTTCGTCATCGTCACCCGGAGGGCACACAGACGAGATCAGCACTGCATATGTTTGCCAGGTAAGCGGCCCGCACTCATGTGCTGCCTGGTGAGGGCTTCTGAGCATGCTTTGAGCAGAGCTCATGGGTCGCCTGGGTGTGTTGTGAGCAGTGCTTGTTTTATTCAGTGTGCGCACCAGCAATAGTGATGGTTCTCCGAACACCCAGGGCCCCAGTCTGTATGTTATGCAATCATTCATACTTTTAGGAGTTTATTTGAAGGATCAGGGGAGTGTCCTGGAAGGGTGGACAGGACAAAAGGAAAGTGAAAAGCGAAGTACAGCCAAACCTCTTTAGGACGAACATCAAGGGACCAATGATATTTGTTCGCAATAACGGGAGTTCTTCTTATCCAAATGTTTTACCCAGTGAATACACAGGGTTTTATCCAATGCAGTTACGAATACTAGTTCTTCTTAGGCAAACCTTTGTCTTATCAGTGTTCTTCCTAACGACGTTTCACTGTAAGTATCTCTCAGTGCATTTGAGTAATGGCGACACAAATTCTACTATCCAGTACGGTGATGCGGTGGTACAAACTTTCATAAAAGTTTCATTGGCCATGTCCACGTGACAAACTGTTCATTTGTACGGAAATTGCCCGCTATACAGTCTGAAGTCAGTAGACAGGAATCTTGACTGTGTCTCTGTTACACGGCGAGCATTTCCAGCACTGGTGACTGTATATTTTCTGTTTTAAAATAGAAGAAATCACATGGAAACGAGTTATGAAGCAACTATCCATTTTATCTAACGTTATCTATTTTAATTATAATACTTGCTCAGTATCCGAGTTAAATTTTCTTCTCTACAGTTGCCAGACTTGCAGGGGACATTCAATCCACGAAGGGCAACAGAGCTTGGCGTTAAGAAGTGAGTTGCTGTGGAGCCTACTTGAGTGTTTTGCACTGCAGAGCATTGTGTTGATTTGTTGTAGTGATGCATGGCGTGGCACGTCATGCCTGGTTTGCGGTCAGAAGTGCCCTTGCCTGCCCGTCTGTATGCTTCGGCTGGCTGTTTACTGTGTGTGTACATGTATGCATGTGTGTGTGTACGTATGCGTGTGCGTGTGTGCGCGCGCGCGTGTGTGTGCGTGTGAAAAAAGACCAAAAAGGAGGGATTCACTGGCCAGAAAAGCCACTTCATAGCTGTGTGGTGTAGACCAGGCTGAATAGTGGTGGTCAATTCTTTCAGCCTTGCAAGCTATAGAATGGTGCACTCCCAGCACAAGTTGCTATGGCTTCTGCTGTAGCATCGCTATCATCACCTCCGGCGATGGGCGTCAAATGGTGTGTGCGTGCGTGCGTGCGTGTGTGTGTGTATTTGCGTGATGTTGCAGGCGAGTCACTCCCAGGCTACTTATGTTATCGTGGCTGTTCTGTGCTGCGTGCTGCTCTTGTTTTGTCTTCTGCTGCAGGGGAGCCTTGTTTGGGAAGCTCAGTAGCGGCCACTCCGTCACGCTGCCCGATGGGAAAGTGGTAAGCTCCTTCAGTGGCGTGTGGTGCGCAAGAATCAGTAACTGTTGTAGCAATGCTGCTTTGCAATGCTGCTCTTTTCTGTATGGTGTGTGTTGGACTGGCTGATCTTTAGGGATGTCTTCCCATGACACATTTATACATACTGCTGCTGCTTTTAGCATGGAGTGCATTTCTCCGGGTTCTTTCCTGTTTATTCCATTTGGCGTAATATAAATTTGAATCGCAGTTAAGAGACCGTTTTGGAGTTGAGGAGTGAAGTCTCAATGTGCTTGTTCATCTTTGCTCTGAAGCATGTTCCTCCATCTTTCACCTCTTGAACGTGTTGGATTTCAGGTGACTCCCGAAGAAGTTAATGAGCCGATGAATAAGGGCACGTGCTTCATTGGTAGGTGTGAGCATATAGACTGAAGATCGAACACTCTCATCTACTGGTCTTTGTCCTTGCTGCTTGTTAGGCATTGGTCTCGGTGCAGTTTTAATCTTGTTCGTCAAATTCTCGCCGTGTGACTGCCTCGTTTGGTCAAACTTGTGTTGCATGGTTTTGTGCGTGGATTTGTCTAGGATACCAGTGTCCTGTAATCCCTATCGTCAGCCTCTGGTATACTGTTCATGAACACCATGCAGACCCCGAGGCCAACTGACTGGTGTAGCATAGTGCAGTGCCCTCATTACGGTACTCTATCACCCTTACTTATCCCCAGGGTAGTTCACACTCAACTGTCTCACTATGTGTGTATGCGGGTACTTACGATGAACCCAGTACAGTCCGTATCGGCTATAGAGTGACCAGATATAAGAATATATCGGCTACAGTGATATTGGTACGAAATATCAAAAGCAAAACGTATTTTATCCAGTAAAAATATCAATATAACCAATATTATCAGATGTAATGATATATCGGATATTATGATGGCAACAAAGAATCAAAACATGCATAATACACTATATTATTATCGGCTATAGTGATAACTCAAAAATACATGTACATGTAGCAATAATATCAAAGGCCCTATTTTTTTTACTTTCTTCACGTTGCTTATTTTTATAGTGATACATGTACATGTACATATAACAGACTTTTTTTATGGAAATGCGGGCACTGTCAACTATGCAGCATGCTCATTTTGTCAAAACGCCATGCTGGAAGTATTTCCTTGCCTTTCATGTGTCGATCGAAGAAGAAAAATCGATCGTATCGCATATAGTGATGCATCGGTTCTAGTGATAAAAACACGGAAATTAAAAGGGTACGCTATAGCCGATACAGACTGTACTAGGCTAGATTTCAAAGGGGCACATCTTCCTCTTGTCACACAGTTGTCGAATGTGCAACATCGGACTTCGTCGCACCAATCACCAGCTCTAACAAATTCTCCAAGTAAGTTGTCCGGGCGCTGCAGGATTTACTTGCTGTAGCTGTTATTTGATGTTCTTTGTGTGGTGTTGGTTTGCTGAAGATGACTCTTGGAATGACATGGACATATTTGCAGTGTAGTATTGCTTTAATATTGTATGAGATGTTTTATGTTTTATGTTTTTTTCTTTTCGATCATACTATATGTGCAGCATTTTCTCTCTCTCTCTCTCTCTCTATCTATATATCTATCTCTATCTCTCTCTCTCTCTCTATCTATCTATCTCTATCTATCTATCTATCTCTTTCTCTCTTCCTGTGCTACTATGCTGATCATTGGATTTGGTGATTGTTCTGTTGTTTGGTTATCCCTGTAGATGGCAGATTGGAGGGGAGAAAGCAGATGCAGTAGCTGTGCTTGTTCACATGACTCCGCAGGATATCATCGACTCTGACACGTACCAAACGTGGATGAAATCGTGAGTGCGAGATATCCATTGCTTGAGTAGGAGTGCTGCTTTAGCAGACATCAGGAAAGGGGATGTATGGAAGTGCATGCTGGGTAGCTGTATGTGCCATCAGCATTGTACCTGGCTTATTGTGGTTTGTTCATGTCGCGGTTGTTGTGTATTCTGTGACCGCGTTTGATGCGAAGGCATTTGCTTTTCGCTTGTACATTTCCCCTTGAGGATTTAGTTGCCGTATAGTTTAGCTGCATGGAATGACTCTGGTGTGTGTGTGTGTGTGCACGTGTGGACATGTGTGTGTGTGTGTGTGTGCGTGTGTGCGTGTGTGTGTGTGTGTGTGCGTGTGTGTGTGTGTGTGTGTGTGTGTGTGTGTGTATGTGTGTGTGTGTGTGTGTGTACACGTGTGCTTGGTCGGTTTGTGTAACAACACTGCTAGGTTTGCGCCGACCGTCAAACATCTGTGTTTGAACAGGGCAGTAGCGCCGGCACCCCTGGTGCAGTTCTCTGGCACAAAGCTGCAAGCGCAGCTCAACGTCCTGGATCAGCGTGTCTTCCCCATTCCATACTACAGCTATCAACTGGTACATGATAGGAGTAATACTAGTACTGCTGTAGTTAGATGGTGTTATCCTTGCAACTGCCACTATAAGAGCAGTTGTCTGTGTCTGTATGCGTCACATATTTTCATCATAGCCTAGGAGCTGAGGCATCATTCATGATCCACAGCAAGAAGGCAGCAATGCCTGTACCTATGGTGAAGTAAAATAAAGGTAACATTACATACCGCTGGTACATACCACTGTGAGGCTACAATGAAACAGTTCAGTGTCAAGTACTTTGGTGAGAATATGCTGTGGGATATCAAGTACAACTTTTGAGGACCCTGCATTACACTATACCTGTCATTCGTCCTTGGATACACAGTACCTCTGCTGTAAAGTACAGATTTTCATGGCCCTTTGAGGTATATTGTACTAAAGTTTCAGTGTATTAGATAAACCAACGCTGGGGAATTGTACGAGTGTCACAAGTGAGAAGCATAATCCATGTCCTTACCTTGACTACGACACTTACTTGGCTCCAAGCTACCGGCATTCTAGATTCTAGAAATTCTATCTTGGTAGGACTTGACTAGAATAGTGTGTACGATGCATGTTCTCATGTGTTGACTACAGCCCGCCGTAGCAGCGGACCTTCCAGAGAACTGCCGCTCCGGCGATCTCATGCTGGCGTTTGCCCTGTACAAGCAGACGGGTCGCAAGAATCGCATGCTGCATGGCTGGTCTGAGTAAGTGACACTTTGAGTACAGTACAGTACAGTGCAGTGTGTGCTTGGCCTGCTGCTGCAGTTGCGCTTACTGAAGCCCGACCCAAAGCTAAACTGATGCCCTAAACCAGTTCTGATTACATCACTGTTCTTGTATATGTGCACGTCCAACCGCATTCATACCACTTCCACTTCCAGGGTGTCATGCGCCGTGCAAGTTGAGGTCGACAAATACTGTAAAACATGTCATTTGGGGTGTATTAAAATTCGGTGCCAGGGACCTGACAGGTTTCAGGTGTAAAATTTAATGCAGAATTAGGTGACCAGCATTCGCGGCACATACAGTGTATACGCGAATGCCTTTTAGGTGTAATCTAGATTTAGGTGCCTTTTTTTCTACCGAAAAATCACCGAAATTATTTTAAAAAGTTACACCGAAAATAACGTGTTTTACAGTATGCAGTTTTGGGTCGGATTTCACCGAGCACAACTGTGGCTTCATTCTGCAAGACACGATCAGAACTGGCACGGGCTCTTCAGACCTTTACCCAGCCGAATCCGACTTGCTGTTCACCGCTCATACTTGCCAAGTGTACATGTCGTCTGCTCTGTGCGTGATGTTAGAGCATGCATACAAAGAAGAAGAAACTATAAGAATTTGTTGCAGGTTTGAGTTCAAGCTTGACACTACTGTCAAGAGTAGATAAACAAGAGTGTGCAACTCCGCATGGGTTGGCCCACGGCGGAATTTTTTGTTGACGTAATCTTTTCGACGACGCACGCGCTGCGAGCCTTTTGGAGAGTTTTCCCTCGTGCACTTGGCTGGGCTTTACACTGCAAGGTCGGTGCCCAGCACGTGCTCTCACACTGCTCTGCGGCAAAGCCGCGTTTCTCTGAAAAAAGGTGACGTAAACAAAAAATTCCGCCGTGGGCGCGGGGTATCTGCAGATTGTGCAGGAGAGATCCGGAGTTGCACACTCTTGTTTATCTACTCTTGCTACTGTAGATCAACAAATTTTGGCCGGTGAGAAACTTTGGCCGATCTCGAAATGAAACTTTTGGCCGTGAACAAACTTTGGCCGATTGGGGTTCAATCATGCATCCTTTGCCCTATGACAAACTTTAGCCTGCGATTTACTTTGGCCGGTTGGCATCAAGTGGCGAAATCAGCGAAATCAAATCGCCAGCGAAAATTAGTTGATTTACAGTATACTCTCACTACTGTCAAACACGTTATTTTCGGTGTAACTTTAATTTCGGTGATTTCGGTAGAGAAACCAGGCACCTTAATTTAAATTACACCTAAAAGGCACAAGAGTATGCACTGTATGTGAAGGGAACGCTGGTCACCTACTTCTACATTACACCTGAAACCTGGCAGGTCCCTGGTACTGAAACTTTAATTCACCTAAAATTGTATGTTTTACACTTTATGCGTCTGATGTTTGTCTGATTTGTTTCTGCAGCATGCAGGTGCAGACTCCGATCGATGTCAATGCACTGCGCGATGAGCTGCTCGCCATTCCCAACGTCTTGCCCGCTGTGGAGGAACTGCGCAAGGTGCAGCGAGAACTGGAACAAGTAGCGCAGGTCAATGCTGGCACTGCCAACGCCAGCGCGAAAAGCACTGAAGACCCTGTTCCCCCGTGTGAAGCTGCACCCGAGCCTACACAAGGTGAATACGATGCTTTCCTTTCTCTTTTGGAAGGCTTGGGAGAACTTCGAATTCGAAGGATCAGTCAGGGAAGTGGTTCGGCCTGGTGCCATAGATGGCTAGAGCATTGCTCATGACAAACAAGGTTCCCGGTTCAGGGCCTGGTGGGGTCGGCATATTTTATTTTATTTCTTCGAATTTTCTGATTCACATGTCGTTGGAGTGTAGTCAGCACATGCTGCCTCTGGTTTCAGTCCTCATACTTTGAAGTACGAAGTACAGTACTATTGCCGAAGAACTGGAAGGTCAGCCTTGTAGTCTAGGATGTTCTTATTTCCCATGCACTACAGTGTACAGTGTATGGGCAGCGGTTGAGTCACCGTGTATACATTGGCATGCTGTGCTTGGTGAAATTCTAGCCTGGTCGTTCTTCGGCGCTCCGATCTTCAGCTCCCGCCAGTACTGTATGCTACTAGTATGTGCAGGGAACTTTATACTGAAGTGTTTGAGTGTTCAGTTGTCTGAGGATTGCCTTAGCTTTGCTATGTGCATGAAACGCAGCGTTACAACACTAACCTAGCCGGCTGTCTCTGTTCTCTTCTGCCTTTCTGGTAATACTCCATCATTGTGGTGTTGAGCACTCTAGGCAATCTGGGAACTCTCGCTATTGTGAAGTGTTTCAGTGTACATGTACATTGTAGCCACCATGAAATGACTGGCAAGGCATATGCAGTGTTCTCCGAAAATCACTCTCTGGCATAGGAATTTTTCGCTTTACATGTACTTGTGCTTGCACTCTGATTTCCGTAGGCACTATGGTGTTTTGGACTGAACTGGTATTATGTGTTTGCCCTTTTTCCGGTGCAGAATCTACGCAGACTGTCACCAGTGACAGTGGCATGCCTTTGGCAGATAAAGCAGGTGAGTTGTGTCTTGATGTGGTGACCAGTGCTGGTGATAATGTGACCGATCCATCTACTACCGATCCCGTGCCTGTGCTGGGCGAGTTAGCACTGGCGAGCAGGGGGGGGGGGGGGGGGGGGGGATGACCATGCAGTCTCTTGCATTCCTTGTTGAATGTTGAATCTTCTGCATTCATGCTCTGCTCTAGGATCAGGAACACCACCACCCTCTAGGATCAGGAACACCACCACCCTCTAGGACCAAGCTGCAGATACAGCTCCTAAAGCGTGTCTTTCCGAGTGATTGTATCTGGTGCACTACCTGTTCGGTACTGTTGTTGGAGAAATCCCCTGTGTTCAGCTCTATTGTGTGGCGAAATTCCCCGAGTTTAGCTGTGTGTGTGTGCCCTTTGCATGCTGATGTTTTCTAGACGATATCCTGGCCAGTTTGGCAGCTATTTCGGACCGTCGTGCTTCAGACCGCCGTGCGAAGGACCCCGGTGAGTGACAGGGGGCGTATCCATCCTTTTCCTTAGCTTGTTGAAAGGGGTGTCATGTTTATCTCTGTTATTGTGGGAGGGGTGGTGTCAATCAGGTATGTAATTTACTGTATCTGGCACACTCTTGCAGGAAGTATCATTAGATGTAACGTTACATGTGCAGTGTTGAGTGTTCAGATTGCCATGCTGAAGGCAGTACTTTTGCTTGTTTTCTACTGCTGCGCTTGCTGCAATGGCTGCAGTACGGAAAACGAGCACTAGTCACCGTTCTGTACATCGTCCTGGGTCCCTAGAACAATGTATTCTCAGGCCTGACAGAACTGGTCCGGTTGGTCAGGCCATGGCCGGACCAACTCTTTGGCCACCAACACATGTTCCTGCAGAGGAGGCCATATGTACCTGCCATATCCTACACGAGCATGAATGATAGTGGTGGGGCCGGACCAATCAATAACTGCTTCTGCCGGTCCTGATTCTGCTCTTGTTTCTCTGTCAGATGTGCTTCCATGGACGGAGGCATCGACCGTGGCGCAAGTGCCGTCTTCATTCGACCCGCTCGCCAGCGAAGTGGTGTTTCTCGGTACTGGCGCTGCCATACCGGGAAAGTTCCGCAACGTCAGTGCTATCCTTTTGAAGTTTGGGTAAGGCAGCAGCATTGATCGTTTCTCGTTTCTCGACCAGTGGCTTGTAATTTCTTGGAACGAAGGGAGTGAGGCTGATCACTGTGATGATATAGAGGTCATGCAAATAATTCTGTCATGGTAGTGGGACAGTGTACTGGTAGTCGCTGATGTGCGCTAAGTGCACAGCGTGAGTCAGCGGATTGGCTTAGGGGAGCTAAGTGCACAGCGTGAGTCAGCGGATTGGCTTAGGGGAGCTAAGTGCACAGCGTGAGTCAGCGGATTGGCTTAGGGCAGCTAAGTGCACAGCGTGAGTCAGCGGATTGGCTTAGGGGAGCTAAGTGCACAGCGTGAGTCGGGGGTTTCACCTGAGCTAGAGCTAGTGCAGCGCTGCGCCATGACTGTTACCACGCCATACAAAGCATCTCGACTAACTGTGTAATCGCCTAACCTCTATATGAAGAGAGGTTTGGTTCACTTGTATTTTCTGTACTGGCCTTAGCCCATTGTTTTGTAGACTCAAATGTCTATTGTTTTCTTTCTCAGTCCATAGGGCATGATTATTCTTTCATGATACGGTGCATTTCATCTGCCTGCCTTACTGTCTATCTCTCCATGATTTCCTGTACTACCGTATCCTTTCTGACAGTGAGCTCTCCATGCTGATGGATGGCGGCGAAGGAACGTTGGGTCAGATGTATCGCCAGTTTGGCCTCGACCTGGACCGTGTCTTGTGTGGCCTACGGCTTATTTCCATTTCACACATCCATGCTGATCACCAAAGTGTAAGAGACATACTTGGTGCTTGCGTTAGAGCTTGGTCATCTCTCTCTCTCTCTCTCTCTCTCTCTCTCTCTCTCTCTCTCTCTCTCTCTCTCTCTCTCTCTCTCTCTCTCTCTCTCTCTCTCTTTCTTTCTCTCTCTCTCTCTCTCTCTCTCTCTCTCTCTCTCTCTCTCTCTCTCTCTCTCTCTCTCTCTCGCTCTCTCGCTCTCTCTCGCTCTCTCTCTCTTTCTTTCTCTCTCGCTCTGACTCCCCCGCCGATTGTTGTGTACTGTTATGGAATGCTGCTATGATGGTCTTACTAGCATGCTATAGCAGTAGCTGATTTGTCAGTCTGGCCTCTCTGACAAGGTATGTTCGGCGCGTCGGTCGGGCCTGGTTTAAATCTGGCTTTGGAAATTTATTTTTCATTGCTGTCAGGTTCAGCCTCATTTTCTCTGTGCTGCGCTGGCGAGTCCACAAAGGACGAAACAGTTCTGTGTGCAGATTGAGTGTAGTACTGCAGTGTGTGAATGTTTACTCCTTCTATTGTTACCACTTCTACGAGAGAGCTTGGAAGCTCAGGGCCCTACGCTATGCTTTTTTGCCTTGATGACCTAGACAAAAAAAAGCATAGGGATGTTATAAATTCTTTAAAAAATCCTTTTTTTTTAGACATAACCTGGGATTCGAACCCGCACTATCGCGCGCCCTGCATGCATCCCCCGATACACTTCGCATACATACTAATTCTTCCAAGTTGTTTCACGTTGTGATCTTGCATTTGAAAGCCCTATTTGAATATGCATTGTGGCCAGCCGTCTTTGATGGCACGGTACGGTAGGGGATAGGTACGGGACAGGTACGATCGAGGGTAATACGACACCGTCTCTCCTTACCGTACCGTACCATCAAACACAGCTGGCCACATACAGCTGCCCGCAATATTCAAATAGGGCTTTCAAACGCAAGATAATAACGTGAAGCAACTTGGAAGAATGGGTATGAATGCGAAGTGTATGGGGGAATGCATGTAGGGCGATAGTGCGGGTTCGAATCCCAGGATATACCTGAAAAAAAATACATGTAGGAGAATTGAAAAATTTATAACATCCTATGCTTTTTTGCCGTCAGATACGGATAGCGCCAGGCGTGACACAAACAAACACACAAACACCAAATTAAAGGTGTGTGGACCCTGGCTAGCGCCAGACGTTACTGAAGTAACGTCTTCTGCATAGCTACGGGAATTAAATTTTATTGTTGACATGACATGCAATACTAGTTACCACTTCTATTAAATTTTTATGTTGACATGACATGCAATACTAGCGCCGAGGTGTATAGACAACAGGTAGTTTTCAACACCAGTCCCACCAGTATTTAACATAGCTTATATTTCCTGGTTGAAACCTGGCATACTCATATACTGACACGTCCTTTGTTGACCCCTTCAGGGCATCGCATCTGTCCTGCTGGAACGTGAGTCGGCATGCAAGCGTCTTGGCTGGGAGGTAAGGGGCATTGTAGAATGAACATGTGTTACAGTGTAGCCAATGTAGACTCTAGGGATTCTGAGATTGCGTCGTCATTTTAAATGTGTTTCTGTGTAGCCCCTGAGAAGTGTGTGTGTGCTGTGTTAATCTTGATTTGATTCTGGATGCACATGGACCCTATGTATACCAGTGGTCTTGTATGCAACAGTCACAAGTGCACGTTCAACAACTGGACAGAGTGAGATGGCAACAGTTAATGCAGTTACTTTGTATACAACTCTCTGCTCCTGGCTTTACGAGCATAAGCCAAACACGCATTCTTATTTATTTATTTCTCTTTCCTTGGCGACATTGCAGGTACCACCGGTGGTTGTGATCGGCCCCACCACATGGATGACCTTCTACAGGTACTTGGCGTCTGCCATGGTTGTGCCCGATATCAGGTTAGTGCCGCGCTGCCTTCTACAGGTTTGTCATGTCAGAAAGGCTAAAGTTAGCAGACAATTAGAAGAGAAAGACTAAACCCGCTTTAACAGTGATCATCATGCTTGCCGTTGTCTTGCCATCTTGGCAACAGGGGAAGAAAGTAGTGATGTTCACTGGTTGAGGGAATGCAAACGGGAAAAGTCTGAAGAAAAAATTGACTGTCACCTCCAGGACTCGAACCAGGGACCTTCACTTGAGGCCAGCGATGCTCTAACCGCTGAGCTATGGTGTAGCTGTCATCCAAACAGAGTGGTGATGGTGGTGGATTGACTAGAGCAGTCGATTGCAGTGTTGTGTGCCTTGTAAACGCACTGAGTAGGGTGTCAGTGGGACTTGGAGGACATTGAACTTGCAATCTTGTCTCCAGAAGGGATTTATTTTTAAAGCAGTTTTCGTTAATTGTGCTGGCACTCTGGTTCTTGTCTTCCCGTCTGCAGTTTCTTTGGAACGAACAGAGCGACTGGCAAAGGCCTGGCCACGGATGTTCTTGCTCGTACCGGTTTGCCCATCACACGGGTAAGTGGATGAATGCGGTACCATGCGCTGTGGGCACACACTTTATTATACTGCAGCAGAGCTATTTCCCTTAGGCCTCGGTCACACTACGGCAAAAATGCTGCGTCAGCGTCAGAATCATGAGCTTTTCCATGGCAACTGACGCAACGCGGGAAGTCTGAGCGTCAGACGCTGCTGCGTCTGACGTGGGGAAATCGGCTGCGTTGCCGCTGATGGGAGTGACGCTTGGCGGAAAAACAGTATCTTTCAAGTAAAATTAGTTTCAAGACACTTTGCTTGAGTTGAGCAGTTATTCGACATTCGTCTCTTCAAGGTTTGTTTTGTTCCCTCTTTTTGTTCAAGATGAGTCCGTGGACCTACGAGGCCGAGGCTGCTCTGCTCCGAACCTGGCGGAAGAGCGAGGCATTTTCTGAGAAGAAAATGATGTCGAGAAAGGACCAGTTGTTTGAGTGGGTCATCGGCCAACTGGAGCCTGTTGACTTGTGAGTGTTGTGTTGTCGTCAAGAGCCCCAAAAAGGACAACAAGCATGGCGAAGTCAGGAGAAACACAGCTGCGATGCGGACTTTTCTTGCCTGATCCATGACACTACAACTGAAAATGGCTTCAAATTAGGAAAGAAACAACAACGATCGTGCACGCGTGGACCTTTCGTCTTCTTGTAATCAAAAATCAATGAAAAATTCGAAAACTTTGTCCGACAATTTTTTTGTATAATAAGCAAAAGGCCGGTTTCCGTGGGAATCCGTGTCGTCATTGAGTTTTCATGGTGATTTTGTGACGTAGACAAATGCGTCAAGCCGCGGCCGGCAGATGACCTGCAAAAAAAACAAAACACTGTGTGACCCCGCGTCTGCGTCAAGTGCTGCGGGTTGACGCTGCGTCCAGCTTCAAACTGCCGTAGTGTGACCGAGGCCTTATCCAGACATCTCCCTCTGGTTAGCTGAACTATGTCACCACATAAATAGCCAAGCCCTCGCATCCTTGTGTGTGTGTGTGTGTGTGTGTGTGTGTGTGTGCGCGCGCGTGCGTGCGTGCGTGCGTGTGTGTGGTAACGGTCTTGGTTCAGTGAGTCCAGCGGAACAAGAAATACGTGTCCTGTCCATTGCGGCTGTGGTGTGTGTCCGAGTTTATAAGCCATTCTGAGATACAAGTACCATTCGGTTCCGATCTACTGTACCTAGCTGTGGGAGGCTCTACTGTATTCGCATGTTTTTAAAGAACTCCTTTTCCAGCTCATGTTTCATCGTACATGTACATGTAGATATACCAGGTAGCTTACCTGTTTGCCAGAAAGCCGAGCATTTGGCCAAGACCACAAACATGTTCCAGATTTTAGTATGGCGATTGACCTATCCATAAGCTTTGTTTGTTTAGAAGTACTGATCTCTTTTGCCTGCCTCGTCTCTCTTCTCTCTCTCTCTCTCTCTCTCTCCCTCTCTCTCTCTCCCTCTCTCTCTCTCTCTCCCTCTCCCTCTCCCTCTCCCTCTCCCTCTCTCTCTCTCTCTCTCTCTCTCTCTCTCTCTCTCTCTCTCTCTCTCTCTCTCTCTCTCTCTCTCTCTCTCTCTCTCTCTCCTCTCCCTCTATCTCTCTCTCAGCTGTACACTCATCCCGTGCTACACAGTGTACCAGCCTGGGCATCTGTGGTGGAAATCCGCGGCAAGCAGCAGGCGGATGGCAGTGTTGGCAAAGGCTATACACTAGTCTACAGTGGCGACACCAAACCATGTCAGACATTGGCTGATGCTGGTAAGTCCTGTGTGCTGTGTTTCCTACACCATTCATACACACCGTCAAAGCACAGGCACGGTGAAGGGAAGGGAAGCAAAAGCTTTATCGCTGATGGGGTACAGTAGAGACATACAAAACCAGTTAGCTTAAAGATTGCCCAGAGCGTGAGACACAGAGTTGGTAGAATTCCCTCTCTCCCTACATAATTCTATCTTACTGTGTATAACACTCCCCAAAGTGTACAACTGGCGGTGTGTACTGTAGGCTACAGTAGCCGTCATAACTCACTTTCGGAATCATGCAGTCAGCTCTGTGCATACGGGAGTTTGACCGGCGACCGCTTCTATGTACGATCCAAGTGGATTACATCACGAATATGCTGTGCAGGTAACACGAGTTGTGAAAGTGTTTATTTGGAATTGCATACTGTGTGGAGTTTGGACTCTGGATATGGTGAAGGTGTCGCTGTAGACAGTAACAGCGTGGCTTGTCTAGAGGCATGGTTAGGAATGGAAGCGGAACATTTTGTTTGAAGTACGATATCGAGTCCGCACTAGCACTTGTGGACGTGCCTGATGTATTGACTTCATTCCGACTCAGTCCCTCACTGGACCAGCGAGTGAGTGTGATCATAAATGGTGTGTATCTGTTTGTGCGGTGTACATAACGTTGTTTGCGTGTGTGTGTTTTGACAGCTCGAGGTGCGGATCTGCTCATTCACGAGGCAACCTTTGACAGTGGCCTGGTCGACAAGTCCATGGACAAGTGTCATTCGTGAGTCTGCTGAGTCATACCTGTGTTGTTACATCATGGATTGCACTGTATTTATTTATTTTAGTTTGTTTTATTTCAACGTCCTATGGCAGAAGCCAATGCAAAGGAGGGGGCATTAGCCATGTATGCGACTGGCCACAATGTGTTACCATTGTAAAGTACGACCACATCTACCATGTTTTCCCCGATTATAAGTCACCCATTTTCAGGTTTGAGCGCTATTGTTTCGATATATTCACTTCAGTAGTAAGTCATCCTCGATTGTAACTTGTAAGTCCCAACCCCCTTGTTGCCCTTGAATCTTTGTGTGAAAAGGTGCGACTTATTTTCGGGGAAATACGGTACTAAAAGGAGAAGGACTAAAATCGTTACGAGTTATGACTGACTGTCTACCAACGTAACCAGATCATACTCATACAGTCAGCGAGTGCGACGGAATGGCACAAAACTAACAAGGAGTACTGAGACATTCAGCGACCTGACACCTACGGAAGTGGACAGTTATAGTCATAACTCGTAACATTTTGTCCTTCTCCTTTTTAACCATAATTAAATTGGCCCACCATCCGAGTTCAAATACAGTACTGTATCTCTTTCCCTGTTTGAGTGGTTCTGTTGTCCACTGCATTGTACATGTACTGACTTGCCACGTGTCTTTAGGACTATCGGAGAAGCGCTTGGTATTGGCGAGAAGATGGCGACCGACTTTGTCATTCTGACGCATTTCAGTCAGCGGTACAAGATGCCAATTCTCGACGACTGCTCGAACCCTCCAGTTCCGTTTGGTGTTGCCTTTGACATGATGACGGTGAGTCAACTAAACGTTACAACTGATTTTGAACAAAATGCATTGTGTCTACTCCCACCCTAGCTAAGCAAAGATTTTTACAGTGAGGCAGTCCAGTGCAAAGTTTAAGGCCCGTGCGTGTCCTCTTGCAATCATTTGACCGTGGCTATAAAATACAGCTGTAGGTACCCTGGAGGTACATTATACCAAACTGTTTCACTGTAGAACCAAGAGACAGCAGACATGCCATGGTCATCATCAGATCATCTCCGTGCCTTTGCCCTTTGTCAACTACACGAACCGCTGGTGATAACGTGTCATTACTGTGGCTGCTTCCGCTGCTTTTGATTGCAGGTTCGATTGGGTGAGCTGAGTCGCCTGCCTAAGCTTATACCGATGCTTCAGATGGTGTTTGACGCGCGTGATAATGCTATTCGCAGCAGAGACAGCTCACCGGTAGGATCTCCACATGCCGGCCGACGTCACGGCTCGCCTCACCACGGCGGTGCGAGGCGCTACGCACATACCGCTGCTACAGGTGACTGGCTAGAACGCACACATGGACTGTTTTCATCGCTCAGTGTTAGACTGTTAGAGTAATCCCAAGTAGAACTGGCATTGCTTGTGGAGCTCGTCTGTACTGCTGCTGCTGCTGCAATGATTATGGGGTACATGTTCTTGTATTGCAAAGTAATTCTATCAGTTTGAATAACACGCATGATGACCTACATGCAAGTAAAAACGAAGCACAGCGAGGGCCCTGAGCTGGCTACACTCTCGTTTCTTGTGCATGCCGCGTATACAGTAATACCTCGTGGTGCAGGCATGAGGTCACTACAATTATTCTTGAGTGGCTGTTGCTTTGTCAGGTGCAATGCTGATTTTGAAGTCCCCACAGAGATGCAATCACTTCCTCGGATTGTACTGGTACCATTGAGAGTTGAAAGGAATTGTGCGGGTGTGTATGTGTGTGTGTGTGTGTGTGTTTCGCATGCTCAGGTGGAAGTCCCCAATCAGTATCACCTGAAGATGCAGCATTGAAAGACGGTGGCAGCAGGTCACCAGTGTCCGGATCACCTCGGGGTCGACGACGAGGCAGCGGCTCGCCAAGGAACCACCACCACCGCCGCCACCGCAATCACTCTCGCTCCCCAAGCAACAGCCCATCAGGGTCTCCGGCAAGATGACACTAGTGTGCGCCACGCCTGAAACGTAACTCGTCTTTGTCTTCTGACAAGGCAGCGCAGTGTCTTTATGTCAAGTGTGCTGCAGTAATACTGTTGGCAGTGTGCTGTTTTCCGCCGGCATCTTGAACCTTTACCGCTGCCAGTTCATGTCCTATCATGCTGAGGAGTGACGTAGATTCCCAGCAGGCTTCTGGATGACTGTAAAGTGCACGTAGCCTGGAACATGACAACAGCAGCACCTCCAGAGCCAGCACGCTCTATTATGCTGCATGCATGCATGCATGATGTTGCATTTCTCATGCATCTTCTGCTGTTTTGAGGAGTTCCACCTCGCTTTCTCGCACATGCCTTCAGCGTTTTTATTCTTCTTTAGTCAGCGTTTTGGAAATTATTTTACTTACATGTAAAAAAAGTATTTATGTGGCAGCTAAAAAGTTTCATGATAATGTCCTGAGTTTGAACAAAAAATGATCAGCTTAATATTTTCGTAGAAGAGCACCTGCCTGTCCCAGGACGATAAAACAGCGTACGGAGCAATAATGAAATCCAACATAGCCTCTCTCTCACACACAAGCTGAAACAACTATGACACCCTAGACCCGAGTGATGCAAACAGCAAGCAGCTAACATAAATAAAAGAAGAAAATAAAATAGCAGGGCACGAACCAAGTGTACACCAGGACATCAAACTGCCAAGGTACACGAGAGAGGTATAACGCCCCTAGGGAAGGTGGCAGTGATGATCCGTTGTTTAAGGCAGTGTGGGACAGAGATGGGGTGCAGGTCGGTGAGAGTGAAGGGAGTTTAGAATCTCAGGCTCCGAAAACATTAATCAATTCGGAGAAAGGGGAAAAAATAAAGTGATCAACAGCCTGTAAAGATTCCTAGAGTTTGCTTTAATAAAAAAGAATGCAGGTCAGTTTGAGTAAGGTTCTCTGTCCAATACGCAGGTCAGTTAAGTACAAGACAAGATAGAAGTAGACCATTAGGGTGGATCCACCGAACACGAGGAACTCTTCACTTCACGACAGAGTGCGGATCTTTACCAATCGGCTATGCCGTGAGCAGAGCGGGCATGGACGGACGGCATTGCGCCGACACACGTGTTTTACTTGCCGTTGAGCTGTTCTAGTGTATCCAGCATTTGCGACGATACAGACTTCATGAGGTCTTCCATGTCGTCCTTCGACATTCCAGTGGTGGGGACCGGCGGCAGTGCTTTCACACGGATCTTGCCTGGAATTGGAGAAAGCAAGCACAAGGAAAAGACAGAGTACTATAAGGATGCGTTCGTTTTTAGCTACCTGGTAGAGTAGAGTAGAGTCACTCTATCGATAGAGGTAGATGGCAGAGGCAAGTGCACGAACGCTATTCTACCGGATTTAGTAGTTTACGCGATATGTAAGTATAATGTTTCTCCTCTGTATGGAGTTGTGTAGAAGTCCTTGATCTTGCTGGAAATCCCGTAGCTCTACCAACTTTTTCCCGGTAGAGCCGGTAGAGGAAAGTAGAATCTACCCTTTTGAGTAGATTTTTTTTTCAAAAAACGAACACCTCTACCGAAAGAAGTAGTTTCTACCCAAACCTGTAGATCAAAAACGAACGCCCCCTTAGTATAACATAAATGTATAACAGGTTATTTTCGTTAAAAGAAGAAGAAGAAAAAAGAGAGAAGAAAACACATGAGAACAAGATACGCAGCAACTATCCAAGACTGTAACAAGATGATAAACAGTCAGAAAGTGTGATAATAGGGCACAAAACTGACAAGTTACTGAGACATTCAGCGACCTGAGACCTAGCTCTAACACACCTCCAGTGCGCAAACCAACAGCCTTCCAACTTGGAAGATTCATGGTTACGTAGGACCGAAGAGGGGAAGGTGAGCGCAGCGAAAATGTGCACAAGCTAAGTCCCACGGCAACAAAGAATGTTCCAAGTTGGAAGGCTGTTGGTTTGCGCACTGGAGGTGTGTTAGAGCTAGGTTTCAGGCCGCTGAATGTCTCAGTAACTTGTCAGTTTTGTGCCCTATTATCACACTTTCTGACTGTTTATTATCTTGTTACAGTCGTGGATAGTTGCAGTAACTAGTTCTCATGTGTTTTATTTTCGGTAGAGAAACCAGGCACCTAAATTTAGATTACACCTAAACGGCACCAGCGTATGCACTGTATGTGAAGGGAATGCTGGTCACCTAATTCTACATTACACCTGAAACCTGGCAGGTCCCCGACACCGACATTTTGATACATCTTTTAAACATTACACGTTATACAGAGTACAGTAAGAGCAGGATATTTCATTAACACTAACAAGGCCGGTCTAGGAAGCTCGAGGTAGAGTGCTCAATGTACGAATGTACAGAGCAGTATACACACACAACAGAGGCGAAAGGCTGTGTTAGCTGTAACTTAAAGTTTCACGCATCGGAGCGATCATCAGACAGCAGCATTCTCATAAACACTATGTAGCTGCTGTTCAGGCCTTGAGCCATGCACATGCACAAAGCCGGGCACCACAGTTGTGTGTGTGTGTGTGTGCCCTGAACACCGCCGTCACAGTGTTTGCTATAGCTGCACAATGACCACACGTGACAACCATGCACCCCAAGAACATCACAGTGTGTGTGTGTGTGTGTGCGCGCGCGTGTGTGTGTGTGTGTGTGCGCGCGCGTGTGTGTTACAGGCAACAAATTATCACGACTTCAATACCACTGCTGCAGTGGAGTCTTCAACTTCATTTTTTCAATAACAACAGTCAACTTAAATGGAAATGGAAAGTTCGGTGACAACGTCCGAAAGCTCATTGCACACCTACAAGGAGCACCGTCCACACTTACCACTATCCCATCTCATTTCCGTTCTTGAGTAGAAGTCTGACATTGAAGAGAAGACAATGGGCACGACGGGTACCTGGTTCTCAATGGCCATGAAGAAGGCACCTTTCTTGAACGGGAGCATGCCGTCGCTAGTACGGTTGCGCGTGCCTTCCGGGAAAAACCAGATACGCCCCTGCAAGGAACACAGAAACCGCAATTCACACGACGATAACATAGATGAGAAACAGGGAGAATTCTGAACAAATACCAACTAGGAAGCGTTGTTCTCTGTGAGCTTATGCGCTTATGCTAGCATAGAGAGCAGCCAACATTCCTGAAGTGTTACCAAAGGTTGATGGGTACGTTCATTATTCGATTTCACCAATACATCCATCCAATAATAGGAGAGAGAGCGAACGAGAGCGAGACTCGTAGCATTTGCACACGCATTGCCCATGTGAGCAACCCCAGAGATGAGGGCGAGACCCAGCCATGGCAAAATATGTAGTTGATAAATTGCACAAAGAACACAGTCACGCTGCTCCTCCGTAATCTGTACTACCCACAGATTGAGGCATTCCAGGTTCGGGTCTCATTGAGCTTCCGCATTTTCACACCTCGCTAGTGCAGCCAGGACCTTTTGCAAGCAAGCTATTTGTATTGCGACATACCTCACTGACCCTTTTGGCGCGCACCGTGTTCTCCAAGGTCGTCACCTCCCCGTGGCGTGACCTTTGATCTTACCCTATAAAACCTGATGATATTGCATTATGCCTCACAATTGCTATCTCTGTCTCTCTCTCTCTCTCAAAGAAGAAGAAGAAGAAGTCCAAATAAGCCTACGCACAAATGCGTGTCGTTCGTGTTTCTTTGTTCGTTTTTGCCTTTTGGTTGTCGGCTAGCTAGTTGTGAGTTCTCTTTGGTCTTGTTCAAAATGTCGCTTCTGCCATCGTTTTCCGTGGACCCAGAACTCAGCGAAGCTTTAGTTGAGCTTGAGCGAGACTTTCATGGCATCGAAGTCGAAATTGTTTCTTCCAGCTCCTCCAGTGACAGCTCTGGGTGTGCCGGGTACCCGGGTACCCGACCGTTAAGCTCAGGTACCGTTAGTAAAAGGGTACCCGTTTGGATTTTGATGAACCAGTCAGTACGGAGCAACACTGCTGGGATCGTGTATTCCAGGCGGGAGTCAATTATTTTCAACTCCACGCTGGATGTCTGCATTGTTGTTGCATTTTCGCACCTAGTAGATCGACTCCTGCGACTATCAGACACCAATCGATTTGCGAATCACAATGTGATATCAAAATGCAACCCGAGAACAGATGAATAAAAATCTTGATTTATGTGAAAATTGCGCAACAAATTATACATGGCTGCTAAAGGGTACCCGTTAACCCGCCCGTTAAGAAAATTACCCGTTCGTTAGTTAAAGGTACACCCGTTTGACCCCTAGTTACGCCCATTGCTTCTGCATCCGGATCGCGTTGATCTGACCTCGCTAGAAGTTGCAGAGTATCTCTGCAGGGTATCAACCCGAGTGTTGGCGGCGGGCGAGAAGCGCCAACGTTTACCGAAAATCGTCATGGCCGGAGTCGATGATTACGGCTCCCCATCGCAACACGACAATGGTATGCTGTTGAGGTGCTGGGACGACGGCCGTAGGTCGATGTACAACGTCATGAAAGCCAAAGGCGCCATTAACGAAGCTGAAGAGGTGTTCAAGGATGCAGAAGAAGTCGAGTCAAGCGAACTCCTGAAATTGGTAAAGGATTTGAACACCAGGAAGATCTTTCGACAAGATGCGTAACGGAAAAATTTCAACACCAACGCCGTTTAGTTATCTGTCATCCCCACACGGGTGACACGGATTGTAGTGCGCGTCGGTACCGTCGACATCGATGAGAATTGCCCCAACACAAAGATGCCTGAAGTTGTGTGCGATGACATCGAGTCAAGGAAGAGGAAGGCCTACGAGAGCGTAGACAGTGATCAGTCCGACTCACTCGTGATGGTTCAGGCATCAGAATCCTCACCACTGATTGAAGTGTCTAGAAAGCGATTCTGGACTGTACAGTACCTTCGGTACATATATTCGATGTATAAAAATATTATCTTATCATTTATACAGTTCTCTCTCTCTCTGGTTTTTCATCTCATTACAAAAATTCTGCGCATTTTTTCTCCATCTGCGCATAAAATCTAGACTGACAACCTGCTTGTTAAATCATGCACCTGCTTTCAGGCGTAAAAACCCTGTTGTAGAGGTCTCAGTCCTCATTTGTTAGACTTACCTGTCTTTATAAATGTAACTTTCTCTCTCTCTCTCTCTCTCTCTGTCCTTATATCTCCATGATGGATATACTTATTATACACTCTATGCTCGTAGAGAGCAAGCTGATATACCGTCATGCCTCAACATTGAGGCGTATTGCTAATATAAGTATATTTTAATATCTGATCGTCCCATCTTTGTGAGCACGAGCTACTTGTGAGAAACGGAAAAGGATCCGAAAAATTGAAAATACAGGTCAAAATACTGCAAAACTATGAGTTCTGATTACCGGTATAAATATAAAATTGAAAAAGGAGAGATAGCACTAATATTAAAAATGATGACCTCATAATGCAATATTATCCAGGGCGGTGCATAACACCCCACCCCTAAAAGAAAAAAAGTGAGATTGGAACCCACATGTACCAAGAGTCCATAACCCCCCCAGAGTGTGCAACTCCAGGTTGGGGTCTGGCGCAACGAAATCCAAACATTGCGTCATCCGGTCCCCGGGCAAGCATGGGCGGATGGGGCCATGTGCATATCTGGTACATCCGGCGGGGGTTCCAAGTTGAAGGTTGCTTTGAAGCAAGCCACGGAAGTGTCACGTAAAACGTTTGCTCCACGGGCTATGCAGTGTCAGCAGAACGGCTTTGATTTCACAGTCACAGAATTTTTTTATTTGAAGAGAGTTTCTCTGCTCGTTGTCTGAAAAGCTTGTATTGGGAGAGTTCGTGACTCCGGGATAGCAAGAATAGGCATGGATATAGATTTACAAGATTTGATGGAAATAGCTCTTGGCACACGGCATGAAGACCCGATCGATTTCGAAGTAGATGTGCTTCAACCTGCTCCTCAGTCCCATTTTGGTACAAGCAAGAGTCCATAAGCCGTTCGCCCACCAAAGAGACACTCGAAAGTGAATGTTCCTGCTGGGTTCACAACCAGACGGTTCAAATTGACGGGTGTTCCATTGCATGTGAGAAGCACAGACTTCGAGCAATAAATCTCTATCCAGGTGCTGGAAGAATTAACAATTTCCAACACTCGACAATCGAGAGAAGAAAATGAGGAGCCCAGATCGAGCAAAAACTGACGAATATCGTCCACAGAGACACTGCACTCCGGCGACAATGGGGAGCGCTTTGCTTTAGGTTCAACAGTGGCCATTGTTCTTCTCTTATCGGAGAGACACTCAAAAGAGAAAACTGTTCGACAACTCTAAAATAATTCTTTGTGTACTTGAGCCTTTCCAGGCGTGTTACGTACAATACCTGGCCGTGGATTCGTAAAGAAAGACCCCAAATTGGGCAAACGGGCGAAGTAGGTCCGGGCCAAACTTCCCATTTCGTCATAGCTACTCACTACATGACGTATGAAGTTTGGATTTCGTTGCGGCACTGATTTGTGCTGAGAAGGATCACGAGTTGCACACTCTGGGGGGTTATGGACTCTTGCATGTACACAATACATATTTTCAATAATACCCCATTTTTGGGGGCAGGGCGCCCCTGTTATAGAACCCGCTCGTTGCCTACTGCTGTTGGAGAGTGGATTTCGGCTTGACCCACAGTTGATTTTTAGCAAGATGTGAAAGTACATTGTACAACAGCACCCCCCCCCCCCCCAATCCAACTACCTTATATCATACCAGGACAGTCAGACCTCGCTTATCCGGTCCTCTTTTATCCGGACCCCTCGCCATCCGGAAGAAAATCGTTGGTTACCGATTCACAGCATATCCCATGCATACATGCAGTATGTGCGTTTGACTATCCGGTTCCCTCGCCTATCCGGATATTTTTCGTGGAAAACGGATGTGTGCGGTTATGCCGAGGTCTGACTGTAACACGCTTCTAGCCTAGGTCATCACAGAGGCATACACATTTTTTGGCCATGGAAATATATCGCAGCCTCACTACTGTACTAAAAAGCTTTCGGACCACAATTCCGAGACGGAGCTTGGATTAGAGCCTGGTCCTATTTCTGACCACTGTTTCCACAAGGTGCCTTCCCCTCTTCAAGTACAATGTACTGAACAATTAAATTTCAATTTTTCACTTCATTACTCGTTCGTACCAGGCAGTTTCTCCTTTCATTCTACATGATAAATGTATTGTACTGTATACATGTAATACAACAGCATGCATTATTCTCCAACATTTACACCCTTTACTAGTATAGCATACGAGGAAATACATGAGCAATCATCTCACCTTCCTTTGGACCATTCCCTGAAATACTGCATTCAATTGTTGTTTCGCTCCGGAGCTGTTCTTACGATTAATCAAGATCGTTCCATTCAAGTACGCTGCTATTCCAAACACAGGCATGAATACGACGGACTGCTTTGCCACTGCCACGGTGTTCTGGGGCCAAACGGCCATCATGGCGAGCAAGTCGAGGGAACTCTGATGATTCGAGACGAATATGCAGCTATGCTCTTTCTCGAGGTGCTCCAATCCCTCCACAATAACCTCAGTGCTTGTGAAGACCTTCATGCCAAGTGCCAACACACGGCCATATATTGAGCTCAAGTTCATATGGTTGGTCTTGAATGTGATCAAAGTCAGAATGAAGCCATGGACAATGTTCACCGAACAAAGAAACATTACTAACAAAGCGAACACCAGTAAACGAAGGAGAAAGCGCACTCGTTGGAGCACCCCTGCAAGAAATCCGGCCATTGTGAACGCTCCCTGGACAACATACTATGCAAACTGGAACACCAGGACAGCACAGAGGCCTTTTGAACCTCCCCAAGCAGTCTGCAACAAAAAATTGAATCTGCTTCACATTTGACGAAGATGATTTGTACAACCTTCGACCTTTCTTTCTTTCTCAACGATCCAGCAAACTCTACAGACTACACAAAGTACACGCACGTAGTCGTAGCTACACGCGCGGGCGTCGATCGCGCGATCGATCGCATGCATGCATGCACCACATGCATGATACACGTACACGTGTACGTACGGCGATAATTAATTTTAAAAATTATTTTACACTTGAAAAAACCCTGAGGTGATCATTTTAAAAATTTTGGTTGTAAAAATGACGTTTTTCAGCCACTTGTACTACTACAAGCACAATAGTTCGTGCCTACAGGGAGTCGTAACCTGGTTCTAGGCAAGCTAGCTACGTCCAAATGCAGTCTTGTAGTTGCAAGTGGAAGTGCCATCCTTCATGTCCGGTGTCTCAAAAAAATGGGAATGATCCCACTTTGGAAAGTGTCTTGAATCATGCTTTCATAGTATTCTCAGGATTCAAATAATTGGTGTGTCATTTTTTTAACAAATTTGTAAAATGGCACTTCAAACTGGGAGTGGGATATTCGGCCATCAACCGGTTCTGAGTAACTTTGATAGATATCACTTCAAGGACTGCTAGTGGATGAAAATTAGTCTGTCAACTGCATTGTATGCTGCGAAAGCCGTGTTTTTGTATTTTGTAACTAGTGGCTGTGTCATAAGGTAGAATTGGATACAGTAGGTAGTATCAGGGAGCCCTACACATGTGTAGGGCTCCCTGGGTAGTATAGCATCGTAGCCATGTTTTCGTTCTCACAGAGTGTATTCCGTGACATACTGTTCTTCATTATTGTCTTTAGTTTAGTGATGGCAAGACGGCCTGACGTCGTCCAAAGGCCCTGCGGAAGAAATTCACTGCCCTCACTGGCCTAGTCCTCGTTCACTCAGGGGCTTATTTTTACACAAAATGGCAAAGCACCCACCACTACAATTTGTAGTTATACCGACGTGGCAGGGAGAATTACTACTTGAAATTATGCACCACATTTTCTGGTCAATCGATAACTTGAACTGGCTCTCATTTGTCACCACCCATGTTTCGATACAGCCATCCGTATCCGGAGCAGAGAAACAGCCAGAAGAAAAGCAAATAATTAATTTTACACATTTGTTAAAAATGCATCTCGTACCGAGTCGTAAGATGACCCAAACGATAAAATGTAAAAGTGTTTGCGTTCCGGCTCTCCGCCTTCTCCACAGAAACGCATGCCCATAATAATATCAAAAACGGGCAGCGCCAGCTTCTACAACAACCTTAGCAGAGACAGGATGAGCAGGGATCTAGGGTCGGTACTAGTAGGGAGGTGAGCTGTGAATTATGTGCTGCGACCTAGCCCCACGCAGGCACATGACGATGGCACGTAACAATGCAAAGCTCAAGCGGCAGCGCTAGCGGAGGTTGGCCATCACGTTGCTGTAGGGCTCGGTGGTCTTCTCAGCTAGCAGACTAGCAATTCTTTTGTAGAATGCAGTGGCGCATCTGCTCATGCCCCCAGTGGTGGACAGGACGCCTGGGACGAAGGAGGCATGTTCGAACCCGCTGCTCATATGCCCTCTTCTTCTCCCGCTCATGTTTGACATAGCAAGCGGCAATCGAGTTGTAGCGATTCGAGGACGCATGTGGGTTGAACACCCGAACATCAATAAAGGTGCGCTCGAATCGCCCACCCCAAATGCCACTTGCTGCCACATCTAGCCGGGCTTGGTCATCGGTGTTGGCAGACCGGTACGGTAGCTGTTCCCCTGTCGGTGGTTGAAGGTGGGGCTAGCTCCACAGCAACTTGGTGGGCTACCTGCTTCAGTGCCCTGGCGGTTAGGTCCCGGATCTCATTATGCCGGAGGGTTGGGAAGCCCCCCAGGGAACACGACAGGGCATGAACCACAGAGAATTCCTTCCCGCATTGACACTCGGGATGTCAGAAGTCGGGGAGGTAGCCAGTTGTACCGCAGACACACAGCGTCGCGAAACTCTCCTTTCGTGAGGTTGAACTTGAAGCGGTGACAGCGAAGAGGTCTGCAGGTGAGCCAGCTGGAGGCTCCTTTTTCCGCTGCCAAATCAAGGGTTCTCTGCATTCCCGCCGACACCGATGAGCGGAGGAGCAAAGCATCAGCTCGAACGCTATCCCGGATATCGGATCTGGCCTGCGCCTTTGCCTGCCGGACGCGCGCAATGAGTCGTAAAATTATAATATACGTACTCGTCGTAGTCATGTACTTCCTCTTGTACGGACAGCAGCACAATGTTCTACAGTACAGAGTGAGAATCAGTGTGATAATACTTAACCACATGCAAATACATGTACAATCAGGTATACCAGGTATATAATTATGTGGGAGTTCAGAAGAGACAGCACTCACTATGCATGTGACTCAGTCTCAAAGTATCGTTAGCACTATGTGAAGTTACTTCAGCGGTGGCAAAATATGTGCGTACATGTGCCTATAATGATGGCTTCCGATCAGTGGAATTCAACATACCACACTTACAAAAACAGAAAGCAGTCTGTGATACAGATGCAACAGTAACATTTATACTTGAAGCCGGCAAGGACAGACTGGGAGGCTGCATGACTACGTAAACAATACAATGGAAAGCACTCCAGTCACAGGGGACACATGAAACAACACAAGTAATAGTTGCACTAGCAAATACACAGACTGTGACAATCAATAACGGTCAGCAGAAAGAGCATGTTGCCTGCTCACTGAATGAACTTGGAAAAGAAACACAAACCGTGGCAGACAACGCTTTGCCTTTCGGTGGAGCTCTCAGCGGCTCCCTTTGCAAGATTCAGAAAAGAGAGTATGAAGTGTAAAGAGTGCCGGTTTTATGAGATAACGGGCACCGGTGTTCAGCGGACCATCCACCTAATCACACCATGATAATAAATAAGTGCATTGCAGCCGATCGATGCCGACTCGACTCGATGCAGAGGCAATACCGGGGCCGCTAGTAGCAAGCTAAGGTCCAATAACCAAAGCCACTATAGAAAGTGCTGTGGCATTGTTGCCGGCTCAGCTAATGCAGATATGGAAGTCATGTTTCAAGCATGATAGATAGTATACTTGATCAAAAGTGCAATAATCTCTCAGCGCCAGAATAAGGCCGCGATACGTCCTGACGAACTTCAGCATCACTTCAAGACTTTTAAGGTAGGATCACAAACGCTCAATGCACATTCGGCAAAGCTAGCGGGGTGAATTGCCCAGACTCTTGACTGGCTACAGGAACTTCATACTCGGGTTTTGATGAGCGCTGATCGCACAGGTAGCCAAGCCATGCTAACCGGCCAGTGACAGGCATGAGTAGCCCTTGCAGTAGCCATCTTTGCCACATCATGTTCAGTGCTCAGACTTTGGCAAGAATCATCTCCTTGGCACGCCACTGGGACTCGCACACTGTTCACCCAGCTCTCTTTATCACTGTCCATCAGAATTCTCCTTGGCGTGCCCCTGGGACTCGCATGTTGTTCACCCAGCTTTCTTCAGCACTGTCCGTCAGTTAGAGTCTCTCAAGCCGGAACAGGAGCATATGCACGAGTGTGTTGACAATATATACACAAACAATTGGTAGGGTTACGTCCAGGCTGGAACTGTCCATAGGCTAGGCATAGGCATAGGCTAGCAGAAGCCCCTCTGACAAAAGGAGCAGTTCTATCTGCCGGGAATAGTGACAAAGCGAAATGAAAGTTAAAAAATGCATACAAGACACAAAATTTAATAGTGGGGTGAAACACGTCATGTTCAGATTAGCACAGAAAGAGAGAGAAATAGAGAGAGATATAGATAGATAGATAGATAGAGAGAGAGAGAGAGAGAGAGAGAGAGAGAGAGAGAGAGAGAGAGAGAGAGAGAGAGAGAGAGAGAGAGAGAGAGAGAGAGAGAGAGAGAGAGAGAGCGCAAGTAAACAAATTCATTATCAGCATTGCAGGCACTAACATTTCTACTCTCGGGAGTCACTACGCCAAAGTGTGCCTCCTGCAGAATAGGTACCATGTGCGTCCGCGGTGCAGTTGTGCTGAGCCCAGAGCCATGGGGACCCTGCAACCGTGGTGCTCTCACACCCGCAATGATTTCAAAGCCAGGGTGATCTCGCGATTACCGCAACCTGGCAGGCTTGGCAGCCTCCTGGTGTACTCGGAGAGCCATGGTGATTGAATAGCCATGGTGATCTCACTGCTACGGCGATCACGTTGAATAGCTATGGTGATCTCACTGCTACGGCGATCACGTTGCCATTGTGAACGAATAGCCATGTTGATCATATAGCCATGGTGATTGGCTGCCATGATAATCGAGCAGGCTGCGGCCGTTGGGACGCGATAGCTATAGTGGTCTCCTGTGAATGATGTTCACCACTGCACTTAGGAGATATCATTCAAAACGTGGTGAGTAGTGCGGGGTGCTGATGAGGAATACCTCTTGTAGAAGCAGTCCTTGCAGAGTTGCTGATCGAGAAGACTTCCAAACCGTCCACAGCCCACGCAGCACTGGTCTTGAGCGGAGGTGGCGGCGGTGGCGGGTGTGAAGTCGTCCAGTGGATTGCCCTGGCGTGTGATGGTGCGCAGGTCGCGCAGTGCCGCCCTCTGCTGCAGCGCGATGCGCTCGCGCTTCTGCCGCTCGGCGCAGTTGGAGCAGAAGCCGGCGTGGCGCAGAGAGCCGTAGTACGGGCAGCCGCTGGTCTTGCAGCGTGTTTCGCCGCCCAGCTCCATGAAGCAGTTGCGGCACAGGCCGCCGTACATGCGGTAAACGCTCTCGTCAAACTGCTCCTTGCAGCGCGGGCTACGGCGGCATGCGTGCAGCGTCGGAGGCGAGGGACGCGCACGCGGCGGATTGCGCGGCTGACAGTGAGAGCAGAACTCCTGCGGCATGTCGACCAGGCGGCTGCAGCCACTCTTGCCGCATTGCCAGCGACGGGTATGCTGTCGCGTCGACAACCACAGGCGCTCCATATCCCGTACGCACCGACTGCAGAAGTCACGTCCACTGGACAGGTCAGTCCTCGCGCAGCCAGGTGTGCAACAGGTATCAGCTGCAGACAGTGGCGACCGAGCATTTGGTGCCGCCTTGGGCTGCACCCTAGCAGCACTGGTAGCCGAATTACCAGCTGAAGAGAGCGCAGCAGGACTGCTGTTGCTACGAGTTGAGCCTGAACCACTGGATAGACTGTGAAATTCACAAAACCTTGACGCAGAGCCAGCACTCGCCTTCCGTTGACAACCGGCGTGATGGCATACGTTAGAGGCAGGCCGCTGGCGTCTCTCCCGCGTCTGATGATGCACGTAACAGCGCGAGCAGCGTCCGCCGAACTCCGTGCTGCCAAAGTGACGGCAGTTTGGCTCGATGCACATCAGAGGCATATCGGACACGTTCTCATCGTTGTATGCGCCATCAGCTGCACTACCGAGATCAGTGGACGGGTCTGAGGGCGGTGAAGAGTGACTGTGGTGCAGTGGCGGAGGTGGATCCACGCTTGATACACTTGCGCCAGCAGACCCCGGACGTTGCTCACCACCACCAGTGCCGCTCCCACTGAGATGGGACCGCCGAGGTGGTGGATTGCGAGTCAATGGCGAGGCTTGGCGCCTGTCGTAACATTCTCCGCAAAAGCCACCTAGATGCGTCTCTGAATCTTTCAAACAGCCCAGTTCATTGCAATACCTTGGATTGATGAGGTGTAGGTCCAACTCACTGCTCGAATCCCGGAGTATGGGAGCGGACGGGGCGAGAGGAGCTTGCGACGACATTGCGCCGTTCATGCTGGACACTTCTCCAGCTGCATCCATGTCTCCCGGCACATCGGATCTGACCGCTGGTGGTGACGGTGGCTGGGTCTTGACACAGCGCGAGCAGAACGGACTCTGCTCCATGTGGTAGTTCTCGCAGCCGGCGCCACGGCACCGCGTGGCCACATCGGCACAGTACAGCTCTTCGAAGTTATCCACGTACGCCTGCGCCAGGGCCTGCAGCTCCGGCGGCATGTCCACCGGCTCAAATGTGGCAATGTCCATGGGTTGAAATGTCATGAACACGTCGCTGGTGGCCGATGGTGGCATCTGTGCATAGCTATGAGCCAGGTAGCGGTCCAGTAGCTTCTCCTTGTTGCCAGACTCGGACGGCTCAAGGAACTGGATTGGCAGCCGGCTCATGTCCTTTCGACAGAGCGGCACCAGGCCGGTGTTGTTCTTGCGAACCAGTCCGACAAAATGGCCACCGGTGAAGGCAATCAGCAACGGTGACCGAACGCAGTCCACGGGATGTGCTGTCAGCGGCAGGTAAATTCCGGCCATGTTCACGGGCGCAAAGCGCTCGCCGTGTGCCCCCGGCATGGTGGCCGCCGCGTAGCAGATGATTGGCCGGCGCAGCACCTGCGCCAGAATGAAGATGTGGAACTCGCCGAGACTCTCGTACATCTGCGTGTTGGCCTTTGGGCGCGGCTCGGAGATGCGCACCACGTGTGTCATCCACTCGACGTGCCACTGGTGCTCCTCCAGTTGGACGCCAATGCGCCGGTTCTCGGCGTCCACGGCGCGACGCCATCGGTTGCGCAGCTTCTCCTCGGCCGTACTATGCACCACGGCAAGGTGCAGAGCAGAGCGTAGGCGCAAGCTCGTGTCGTCCACACCCCACATCGCCAGCGACACTGCGTGCAGCAGACAGTTACCGTCACCGCGAGTGCGCAGCGGGACGAGCTTGCAAATCTGCTGCTCCACGGAGCGCAGGCGATCCATGGCATGAGCTTCAGGCCAGTTGATAACGCCATCTCGCTCAAGCGCGCGCTGTGTATCTCCATCGAAGACCGAGCGATAGACAAACTTTCTACGCTCTTCGTCCAAAGAGTTCACAAAACCGAATATAAAGTCCAGATTGTAACTCGTGAGCGGCTTACAGATTACAGGAATCTTGTCTCTACTAGCGTCTTGACTTCGACGCAACAACTCCAGTCGAGAGTCGATGAATTCGTGCGCTTCCTCCGCCAAGCGTGGATCGGCATCTTCAAGCGACCTGTTTCTGCGATGTATAGCAGTACTCGGCATGGTGCTGCCTCCCGCCATACCGCACGCCAAACAATGGCGCAGGGCTGTAGACTGGCGAGGCGTACGACGCTTCTCAGCCGACAAACAACCAACTGCGTCGGCAAACTGAGGCGAGCAGTGACCTGGACTATACGTCCGAGGTAAGCCAAACCCCTCTCTCTCTCTCTCTCTCTCTCTCTCTCTCTCTCTCTCTTTCTCTCTCTCTGCTTCTCTGTCCAGGACGGCAGGAGTGGGGCTCAGGGAACTATCTACAACCGGTAACCGCCACCTTGCAGCTCTTTGCACTCGCGCCTTGTCCTTGGCTCGTCGCCAATCATTTACGACACGAAATGTGCAAGAAACATTCGCGAGCGATCGTGCGGCCGGGATCGGGAAGGAGTTCTGACCACTGCATGCGCATGCACTGACTCTTCTCCGGCCCCGTGATCTGTTTTCATTATTTTCAAATCTAAGCCAAGCCTGCCTAGCCTGCTTGCAACACGGGAAAGTAGGTCTACGGCTAGCCGTGGGCTTGTGCTAGCGTGTTGACTGGGTCTACGTCTGTTATGTCGGTACAGCGGTAGCTACAGTACAATCATGTATGCTGCATGCTTCCAGGTCATCATGCACTTATTTTCATGGATTACCAAACAGGCGTAGTCGAGTCTGCGATATCACCATGATCACCCGTTTGCCATGTTTAGATATGCCGCTGCGCTACGTAGATAATGCCCACGTGGCATCGGTACCATGGCATGGGTACTGACGCCTAGCAGTAGCACCTAGTGTCTAGTCTAGTGACGGTAGAAAAGACATGGTGGTACATGTAGATCACATTCACAATCAACAAGTCACGAACGCGCACATACTACTGCACGCATAGCAACCCCTAGGCCTACAATTACTTACAAGGCTACATTCTACAAAAGCCCGCTGCGGCTCGCAAGCTAGCTACGTCGTTGTGCAGGTCCGGATCGAACCAGCTGGCCAGGCAGTATCGCCTGCATGCATACTGCACTGCCTACTAATATTGTAATAATAATTATTACTGTGCTCAGCTAGCTGTGCACATGTGGGATGACCCCTGCCGGCATATCCGGGGCTCCTGCCCGGGGGGCCCTTCATGTAGATGAGAGCAGGGAGTAGTACAATAGTCAATACATTATGCATGGTACTACTCCCTGGATGAGAGCGATGATCTGAGAGCATGGCGTTGACCTGGTTGACATGGCTGGGTCCCCTAGAATTATTTAGAAACTTCCCGCAGACACATGATTCATGAAGCATGAATAGCTACTTCAACTTGCCTGCATGATATGAGTGCATGCCGCACCATGATTACGACATCGGGGTTCTCCCCACCATTGGTACATGAACAATGCCCAGCCCCTAGTATGTACATGTACATGCACCGGTACTGCTGCAGCGTTCACTGATGACGTGAGTCTGAAGGCTCGATCCAGCCAGTGCAGTGTTGTCAGCTGAATCGGTGTTGTCAGTTGAATCGATGCAGCTGTTTTATTTGGGCTTTCATTTCAACTAAGTTACTTCAACTTTTCAAGTTCCAGTTTAATACTAGTTTCAGAATAATGAAACAACCATACTTCAGAGCTCAGCGTGACAGAGTGACACGCACACAGCTAGTGCAAGTACTGTAATCTGTTGCCATTGTTGACATGACTGTTGTCTATTTTGCTCATGTCATGAACCATACAATGTCATGTACTGACATGTAGTCAGCTATCATCAGATCATTACATGTATCAGCATGACTGACTCATGACAGTAGTGAACGCTGAACAGTATTAAACGTAACTAGTGTTGCTATAACAGGGGTACCAGTGAAAAGAATTTGCGTTTCGAGCGCGTTTCCTTTACTACATCATAGTACATGTACATAGGCAAAAGAGTTGCGTTTACATTTTTGTACCTAGTGACCATGGCCTATGCCATGGTGACAGAGTAGTGACTAGTGTCGTTGCAGCCTAGTACGTCGTACTAGTGTACAGTCATGATCTACTCAATCTCCGGACATTTAATGTCTTTGTCGAAGAGTAATGCTGGACTTTCACCGGACATTGACCCTTGTGTAAGACCAGTCAACTAGCAGCCAACGCTGATGGCTGACTCGCCGCGATGCCGTTCTTGGGATTGGGAGGAAGCTGGGCTTTCTCCAGATGAGCTTTTGGCGGATAGTGACGTCGTCGAGTTGGAAACTGCAGATCCTGCCGCCGCGATAGCGAGGAAGCGGTCTTTTCAGAAAACAGCTATTACCAAGTCTGAAAATGTTTCCAAAAAGACGCGAGTATAGTAGCTCATGGACAGAGCACTGAAGTGGCCATCAGTGCCGAAACACGGGTGCGGGAGTTCCCAGATGAGCCGCTCAAAAGCGACTGTGGCAAGGTACTACTAGTGTGCCTGGCATGCCATACAACATTGTCAGGGAAGAAGAGTATAATCATGTCCCATATTGCTACCGCGAGACATAAACAAGGAAAGTCCCGTTTGGAGAGGGAAACTCAGAGGCAGAAGCTGGCCAAGAAGTCTTTCTTGGCGTATCCTCTTTGTGCCGCCTCAATATGACTACATGTGTTTGTACCTGTAACCTAGCGTACATGTATACCTGATATTGTACTAAGTGTTTATCATAGCATGGGTGCAATATTATAGCGTTTTTCTTAGCCCAATGCCGCAAGGTTCAGGTGTTTATATTCCATCCGGCGGAGCATTATCAGCATTATTTGGAGCATTATATGGCCTTTTGTGGAGCATTACTGAGAGCATTATATCCCATATTACCGAGCATTATCCACCAACACCTACTGATGAGGGGTGAATTCCCCGAAACACTGTGTATTGAGCAGGGAGTGGTGCTTTCTTGCAGGTTTGCCGAGTCGAAGGTTCGATGGACTTCTCGTGTGCTCTGGATGGCAGTCGTGAGTCAGTCAAGTGTCAAGTAAAGTCGGCGGAATAGCGCGAGCTCCGGTGTGGGGAGCAAACCCTTTCTTACAAATTATCGCCGAAGTCGCAACCACTACTTCGTAATAATAATAATAATAATAATAATTTAAAACGAAGGTAAGTTATGGGTCGCAAATATCCACGCAAACACACATCCAGTCATAATAAGGCACTTGTCATAAGTATCCGAACGTTTTCGGTCCCTTCTCATCAAGGATTATACAGGGAATGGCTCAAATTGGAAAGACTAAAACTTATATAGCGTAAAGATAATTAGATAACAACACTCGTGACAAGGTGGAAAATTATCAAGTTAAGCACGACACAAAACTCGAAGGAAAATAATAATAGTGACAACAACATAGTGAGCAAATTAAGTTACATTGTTAGCACCTCGACGAGGAGTAACACCAAACAATTGTAGCGACAACACATTTTCTTTCTGTACGCAAAGTTCAGGATCTAACTTACGGATATACAAAGCTTCTAACACAGCCAAATGTAACGCACATCTACCACGTGACAATATTGAGAAAACATTATCACTGTACAACTCACGACAATTGGTACGGGCTGACAGATGTTGCTTGATTGACGAAGTGCGATTCTTAGCTCCATTGGGTGTTGTCTCCTCCAATGTCCCGTCATCTCGCCTCTTCGTGGCATCACCACTATCTGTTTCTTCGCGTTTCCGCGGCCTTCCACGTTTCTTGACACTAACCGTTGGGTGCACGATACCCGGTGTCCTTTCCGTTACGTCTCCTCCATTGCGGATTTCTATTGAGCTTCTTACTCCAACTTTACTTACTCCAACTTTACTTACTCCACTTACTCCAACTTTGGGACAGTGCGTGCGTTCAGTGTGAAGAAGGATGTTCTACCTACCCTTAGTAAAAGTAACCTTATCGTCGAGGTGCTAACAATGTAACTTAATTTGCTCACTATGTTGTTGTCACTATTATTATTTTCCTTCGAGTTTTGTGTCGTGCTTAACTTGATAATTTTCCACCTTGTCACGAGTGTTGTTATCTAATTATCTTTACGCTATATAAGTTTTAGTCTTTCCAATTTGAGCCATTCCCTGTATAATCCTTGATGAGAAGGGACCGAAAACGTTCGGATACTTATGACAAGTGCCTTATTATGACTGGATGTGTGTTTGCGTGGATATTTGCGACCCATAACTTACCTTCGTTTTAAAGTATTATCCGCCTCCGACCTCTTTTAAAAAATAATAATAATAATAATAATTTAAAAATTCGACGAGGAGACAATTATTTTTAATATGGCAATAAGTAGGACGAGCTGAAGCGACATGTGGACTACTTTATTAACAATGTAAGCGATGGAGACGATGCAAGAAACAACCTAAAGGGTAAGGAAAAATACATGTAAGAAGAAAAGGGCAATGGAAAAAAAAAAGATGATTCGAACAAGTTTTCGTACAACACTCTTCAGGAATCACCGTTGTACTAAAGAACAAAATGAGAACAAAGGAAATAATATAGCAATCAAGGTAGGGTGACACGATACAATGACAGCACTAGAATATCGAGGTGCGATTTCTCACAAAAGTGTGCAGAAAACAAGGGTATACAAGTAAGAACTAAGCGTGACAAGTGTGTATCGGCAACAAAAACAAAAAAGTGAGAACGAATGATAATAATAACAATAATAACAACAATAAACAAGAAGGTGACAAAACACATTTAGGCACAAGTGGCAACAACGTTGCCACACTACACAACAGAACATTATTTGAACAATTTTAGGGTAATAACACTATCTTTCTGGACACACAAATTCGGCTTATGAATGCGCTGACAAACAGCTTCCAAAACTTGTAACTGCAAAAGATAACCATGACGAGCACGGCACAAAACAGAAAAACAGGAATCAGAATAAGTACGACAACAGTCCTTCTCCACGCGCGCAGAACCGGTGCCAACCCAGGGTAAACGGAGCACCACTGGGCAACGGTCAGGTCCAAATTGGATAGGCTTGTCTGTCACCGGTTTTTCGTTGATTAGCTTGGCCAGAAATTCCTTTGGATAGCCGTTCGTGGTATGTTCGTGGTATCGTATGTCCATCATATCCGTGCGTCAAGCTGTACGTCATATTTGGGACAGTGCGTGCGTTCAGTGTGAAGAAGGATGTTCTACCTACCCTTAGTAAAAGTAACCTTATCTATTTCTTTCAATGCCGACAATGTGAAGATCGGTATGTAGGTAGAACCCTTCAGCACCTGGGCGCACGCATTCGTCAACATGTGCCGTTAAGTTGTGTTCCGCTTGATGCGCGCGATTGTCGTCCTCGCCGTGGTCGTCCTCCAAAATGTGCTGTCCAGTCCATCGGTGGATCTTCCTCTTCCCGTGAAGATGTGACTGCATGCCCGTCCTCCTCTGCGTGTGTAGGACACGGGCCAGCTGAGAACAGCATAAAAGATGGTGAAAGACCCACACGTAAACCACCGAAACTGACAAAGGATCTGTCGGCGTCGGAAAGGGTGACGAGAAGC